AAAATTACCAAAAGGCATTCCCATCAGAGTAGTGTGATGACACAATAACCCTTTTTACTAAAGTACTAAAGCTACTTCTTTGTTTTCCCAAGCTAATGCAAATTAAAATCAACTTCTGTTTTGAGCACTTTGGAACTTGCCTCCAGCTACCTGGTGATACTATGTCACCACAGTGGCATCCCATCTTTTCTGTCTACTTCATCAGAGAAGCAGCACATCACCAGTCACCTAGGGAGAAAGCCTCAAGTGGAACAAGCATGAGGATAAATGGAGATTCACAAGCCTGTTAACTCACTGTATAAATGTATTAAGGAAATGAGCTTTAATTTCACAATGGTGTTCATCAGAGATTGAGAAATATGTTGCTTCAGTACTAACGCCATCCTACTTGGCCTAAACAAGTCCAAGACATGCCCCTCTTCTAGTAATGACTCTACTTGCAAAAACTCAGTTCTGTCTACATACCTGGCAAAGTAATGCTCTGCAATGAGAGGATATTAAATTATGCAGATGATTCTTGCGGAGGGCAAGGCTGGTTAATAAAACAAACCTGTACCGGCAGGCAGATGTTTTCAACTACTTAATTGGATGACAAACTTAGTTTGAAGATACTCCTCTGTGCAATCCTTCCCCCAACCAAGAAAAAAAAAACCAACTCAAAACTGGCTTTAGTACCAGTTTCTCATCTGTAAAGATATTTGAAACTCCCACCACAATTCTCAGTTGATACTACTCAGAGCACTTTATCCCCAGTGTTGCTATGGCTATGGCCACTACTAGAATTATTCCAGAATTAGTACAGTCACATGCTGGTTTGAATAAAGTACTTAAGTTTTACTTATTAAACTGTATCAACTAATTCCTTGTTCCTTTTTTTTTCTTAAACACAATTCCTTGTTATTGACATTTCTCAGCCAAGGCGAATTATGTACAGTCTGGAAGTCTAATCTAGAAAAACCACATGAACTCAGAACCTCACTACCCAGACTTTTCCCTTGTCCAGCAAGACATTCTTGGAAACTGCTCCAATTTCAATCACTTCTCAAGTCATTGTGGACCTCTGTCAAGGAGGTAGCAGTGCTATTCTCAGCGGTCTTCAGCCCCAGTCACACTTTTCTCTAAAACATGGATTCTAACTCCTGCTTTCAACCCCTTATTTACTATTTTTTTAATTAATAATATTCACCTTTATAGTCTTTCTCTAAAGATAACCTTGATACCTTTCTCTTTTTATATTCTATATTAGAACAAATTTTAGGAGGCAGCACTATACTCACCAAAAGAACTATTCCCTAAGTTCTGAATTGGGAACGTTTACAACATAGCAGGCATGCTTTGTGCCAAGTGCCTTGCTGAGAAGGTGGAAATTCCCTTTTTAATAACTTCACCATTTTATTTTTACTTTAGTAGCAGAGACAGGACAGACACACAGGTATATTAAAATAATGAACAGCTCTCAACTTACCTCCTGAGGATTTTCATTCATGTTTCTGGAATACATAAAGCCTTTTCGGGGCTCACTCATAGATTCATTTGTTTTCCTACCAGCCAGCTGGCTCACCCGGCTCTTTTCTGTGACACTGGGTGGAGTGGAGCCGCTTACATCTTTGGGGAAGAGTTTTCCAGGTTTTGGAGTCTCTATTGTCTCTAGAAAGTGAGTTCCTTCAGAGACAGTGTTGTACATAGTTGAGGTCGCTTCACTGGCACTAACACTGTCCTTGACATTCCTTCTACCACTGGCATGTTCAAGTTGGTGAGCTCCTTTCCCCTGGGTGTTTCTAGGTTCTTTACTTGAACTATCTGAGTCATGGTCTGGGCAAAGAGCTTTCCGATTATTTTTACCAGAAGCAGCATGATTATGGTGAGAGTGATGCTCATGGTCTGAGTGATGCTCATGGTCAGAGTGATGATCATGGTCTGAGTGATGCTCATGGTCTGAGTGATGCTCATGGTCATGGTGTATATGGATTCTTTTAATCTTATCTAGGCCTATATTTTGAAGCAATTTTCTGAACCCTTCTACTGACAAAGTATTATTTTCTCCATAGCGGTAGAAAAGCTGTTGTAGATGATATTGGCGTGTGGTAACTGCCAAGTCAACATTAATGCCAGATTCCCAATTTGGATTAATTTTCTCAGTGGTCTGGGGGAAAGCAGCTGTTGATTTTAGTTCATGAAGGGGATTTGTGACAGAGAGCGCAAAGGTCAGGATCAAGATTATAGATAACTTCCTTGCCATTGTGCATTCCTAGAAAAGACAAGAAAAAAAATTCTTGACTCACTTCTAAAACAAATTGAATTAAGAAACCTCATACTGAAAATTAATGTGTTATCAAATAATCAAAGTTGCCAGAGGATCATGTGGTGTGGCCAATGTGGCACTAGGTGCTCTGAATATGGAGAGAACTAGAATCCTAGGTTCTACCCTTGAATTGCTAAAACACATGAAACCACTGGAGAACAGCTAGCTGAGTGCTAAGAGACTGCCATTAACACTGTAAAAGCAATAGAAACTCAAGAGATAGGAGAGATCCATGTGGCCACAGCCATCAGCTTCTTACTGAAGTTGAGAATTTATTTGAACAATTATTTGAATCACTGAGGCCAATGATTCAAAATAAAATCTGGGCGGGGCGTGGTGGCTCATGCCTATAATTCTAGCACTTTAGGAGGCCGAGGCAGGCAGATTACCTGAGGTCAAAAGTTTGAGACCAGCCTGGGCAACATGGTGAAACTCCGTCTCAAAAAAAAAAAAAAAAAAAAAAAAAAACTACATGAAATTTAGCTACCTTCATCACCACCATCGTTTCATATAATAATCTTCTAACACCAAAAAATAGAAATAATCATCTCAGAATTCACATATTTAAAAAATTTGAAACGAATACACTTTTCTTATATACAAGTCCATTTAAGGCCCTTTTCCCCAATCACAATCCTCAAAGGTGCTCAATTTTGCTAGTGTATCCCTCAGGATATTTTCTATGCATACTCAAATACATGTGTACTTAATTTTTTTAAACACTTTTTTTTTTTTTTTGAGTAGAGACAAGGTCTCACTATGTTGCTCAGGCTGGTCTTGAACTCCTGGCCTCAAAAGATCCTCCACCTCCACTTCCCAAAGTGATGGGATTACAGGCGTGACCACCACCCTCAGCCTTAAATAGGTGTATACTTTAAATACACATGGAATCTTTTTTCCTACTTGACAATGAATCAGACATATTATGTCCACACATAGAACTCTTTAAGTAAATTTAACATCATGAAAAACTCACTGCAGCATCCTTGTGTTACTACAAACCAGTCAACATTTAATCACAGACTGTTAATCATCCACAACAGTGTTTGGAACCAAAGGCCTATGCCCCAGAGGGGAGTTAGCAATTGAGTTGGATTTTGAAATTCTGTTAAGCAGAGCCAGAATTCAGTTAATTCAGACTCAGCAGGATGTCCAGCACCAACGGTGGACGTGATGGTGGTCAAACCCACATCTCCCGCAAAAGACGCAGAGGTCGAGTTTCCAACTAAGTACCACGGCCAGCTGTTCTTCTTTAAACAGGGTTCTGGAATTCATCACCTTATCTAAAACACCGGCAATACCTATTTTGCAAGGCGAATGAGGAAAACACATGAAGGAATGCATATCACAAGTGCTTGTTAAAACTCAGGTGTTGCACAAGTGCAGCGCATCATACAGAGAGCAGTGGGAAATGGAGGTACGGCGTAGAACGCGGCTCACGAAAGAGGAATTTTTGGGGCCTGAAGTTTCGGGAATTCTTTTACTGGCAAAAGAGAAACATTTAGAAATCATTCCCAGGAGAGAGGCGAGGAGCGGGATGGGAGGGGACTAGCACAGGGGACAGCTCCAAGCAGCTCCAAGCCTTTCTCCAGGGAGGATGCTGAGCGCGGTCGCGGACCCGTTCGAGAATCTCCTTCCCTGGAAGTTGGCGCGTGCTGGAGAAAAACGGAAAGCAGAAGGGCCTTGGAGAAAAAGGCGACTATAGAAACAGAAAAGAGGGCACAAAGCTCTCTTCTAAAAGCTTTTTATTTCTAAACACCTCAGTGGCTTCTTCGGATATGGGATGAAAAGTACGGATCGTTTCCTCAAAAAATCCTCCGTTGGACCCCAAAGCCCATCTGAGCACCCTTAGAAGTCCGGCTCTCTAGGGCGAGTGGACGCTTGCGGCGGGCTCCCCCCCCCAGCATCCTCTTTCCGTAGACCCGCTGCCCAGCCCGCAGGACCCGGGTCTACGCAGAACCTCCCTGTCTGTCTGGCCTGCGGGGCTCCCCCTCCCAGCCGCCCCGCTCCCGGACCTCAAAGACTCACGTCTCCGCGGCCTCGTGGTCCCACGGCCCAGCCACGCGCGCAGGTTCAGTTCCACGCGGGCGGTCCGGAGGGCTCGGAACGGGCGCACTGGTCTCTTCGAAAAATCTCTATTAGGCGCGGACACGCGGTAGTTTCATTGGGTTGGCTGCCCCTTGGTCCGGGGGTAGCGCCGCGCAGCCACCAGGCAGCCGCGCCCCTCGCCTTCGCGGAGCTGGAGGACAATCACTAATTACCGCCGAGCGCAGCGCCGCGGGGAACCACCGCCCCCTTTGGCAAGGACTACGGAGCATGCGCAGTGCGACCCCGGAACCCGGCTCCGTAGACGGATCCGCTTTTCCGTGTTCGCCGACTCGGCGGGGGTGTGGCGCGGCCCTAGCGCACTCTAAGCAGTTAGTGGTCCTTTCCTGGAGGCCTGGCTCGCTAGTTAGCGCCTCCGGGGCTAGCCCTGCCCGCTGCAGGGAGCTGGGCTGTAAGGGGCAGCGGGATGTTTCTGACGCTGCCCTGGCATATGAGCCCCAGGTCCTTCGGGAGGGTTCCCAGCCACTAGGGTAGGATTTCGCTCTTGGGACAAAGGCCTGGCTTGTGCGTAGGGCGGGGCCGCGGTCCCAGAGCCGAGCTAGCAGAGCGGTGGCTTTGCACAGGGTTAGAGCGTGTGTTGGGGGTAGGGGAGTTCAGAGGACCGCAGTGGGGCGGGGCTGCCTCCGTCTGGCCATCGGCTGCCTGCGAAACGCGGACCGGGAGACGCCTCAGGAGAAGCCACGCTAGTAGTTCCGCTCCGAGGGCGGAAGTGCGCGTCTTTGTCTGTGCGGCCGACCAGCTAGCGACATGGTGGCACCCGTGCTGGAGACTTCTCATGTGTTTTGCTGCCCAAACCGGGTGCGGGGAGTCCTGAACTGGAGCTCTGGGCCCAGAGGACTTTTGGCCTTTGGCACGTCCTGCTCTGTGGTGCTTTATGACCCCCTGGTAAGAGAGGTCGCTGGACGCAAGATCCTTGTGCTTTTGAGGTTTGAACCTGTGGACGTGCTCCGGCGGCGCTATAGTTGCCGTTCCAGACCGAGGAGGCGAGTCGGGTGGGCTTAGGGGAGCGGGGTTTGGACTGGGAGTCGCCAGTGGACCCGCCGGACTCGTCCCTCACCCCTCTCTGTCTCACGCGCGGCGTCATCCTGGGGCCATTGCTACCCATGACCTGCCAGTAATCTGTGAGCCCCACGCTGTAACCCGAATGATGAGAATCTTAGCCGGTTTGGCAATTATAGTGCCGTTAATCAGTTTGGGTTTTAAAAGAATTGAAATTTATATGAGGATTCAAATCATCCCACAGATGGAGTCTGATTTCTGTATTACCTTTAATTTTGGTTAATGAACTTTAGCTGCGGGAATGGACCTCTTAGAGAAAGTGCCAGTTTGGGGGAAATGTAATAGGGGATTGGGATCCTAAGCACTGATTGTAAGGCAGGACTTCCCTCGACTTCACCCAGTCAGTTGGTTATTTTCTTGGCATTTTCCTTACCACACTTCTCAAGTGAAGAGTTTTTGCATGCTCTCCAGAATTCATTATAACTCCATTCCCACTGGCTAATTTAATTTAGGTCAATACAGTTAGTCTTGCATCTCAAAAGGAGGCTAAGTATAAAAAGTAAAATGCTGAAAGTTAAAATACAACGCAGGAGTTGGCTATATGCATTTCTGATCATATTGCTTTGTTAATTTGATTAAAAATTTCATTATTGACCGGGAGCAAGACTTATTCCTGTAATCCCAGCACTTTGGGAGGCAGAAGCGGGAGCATCACTTAAGTCCAGGAGTTCGAGACCAGCTTAGCAACATAGCGAGACCCAAGTCTCTACAAAAAATTAAAAAGCAAATAGCTGGATGTACAAAAAATTAACAAACAGCTAGTTGTGGTGATGTGCACCTGTATTCCCAGCTACTGGGGAGGTTGAGGTGGGACCATTGCTTGAGCCCAGGAGTTTGAGGCTGCAGTGGATGGGGGTTGCACCACTGGACTCCAGCCTGGGCAACAGAGCCAGATCCTATCTCAAATAATAATAATTATATTCTCACACCCTTTGCAGATTCAAATTTATATGTGAAATATTTTTATCCACATTACTCCATCTTGAACTTGCTTGCCTCTTCCTGGTTTTTGTTTCTTATTATTTGCATTCTTGAATGGCAAGAGCAAGTGCAAAAAAAAAGGGTAAACTTTAAAGGGACCATGAGTCAAGGACAGATTATAAGTGGGAGAGACCCCAGCAGGCCTGATCTAATTCAGCTGTAGAATCCCATGTTTTTGTAGCAGTTGAATAGATTTGTTCCTATGCTTTCCATCATATTTTAAATGATAACCTGGTGGCTGAGCTAGTGAATTTTAGCATATTAACAAAGAAGTATTGAGTCTAAAAGGGACTTTTTCCTGTTAAATATTTGCTAGTTGGGCTTTTTTTTTTTTCTTGGCGTGTAGTGATACAATCTCAGCTCAGTGCAACCTGCAATCTCCGCCTCCCAAGATCAAGTGATTATCATGCCTCAGCCTCCCCAGTAGCAGGGATTGCAGGTGTGCGCCACCATGCCTGGTGTTGTTTTTAAAATTTTTTGTGTTTTTAGTAGAGACAGGTTTTACTATGTTGTCCAGGCTGGTCTTGAACTCCTGGCCTCAAGTGATCCACCTGCCTTAGCCTCCCAAAGTGCTGGAATTACAGGCATGAGCCACTGCACCTGGCCTTAGTTGGGCTTTTAAGTAAATATAGGAATAGAAGCATGTCAAGTACTAAAATAAAGTTTTGGGAATGATGCTCATTCAGCAAATCTTTGAGGACCATCTGTGGGTTAGTCCTGGGCTGAGTGATGATGACACAGATAATGAAAGCTAACCCGTGGCCATCAAGGAATTCTCAGTCTAGTGGGAGAGACAATGAAATACAGTAAGTTGTTTTACAACCTCAAATAACCTGTATGTGAAATATATTAGTTTATGCACATTTGCCTCTTCCTTTTTCTTCGCCATGAGAATTCTAGCTGACATATAAGCAGATTCAAAGCCATTGCTGTTGACAATGAATAGAGAAAGAGGCTATAAAGAGGGAGACACAGTAGTCATAGTTAAAATTTAGTGGTATGTGAAGTATAAGAGCTCCAAGTGTGGGGTGAGGTTGGTGAAAGCAGCTTGTTGAGGATTTGTGGGGAATCTGGCAGTAGGCCCTGCAGGAATCTGATGTGTGAGATCCTTAGTAGTTGTGGCCTTGTGACATTGTGCCACTGCGGCTGAAAAACCCACTCTCTGGCCATGGCATGCAAAGTTAACTGTGAACTTGTACCCATTAATCACAGATTCCTCTACTGAAGGACTTTTTTATTTTTTTGCCAGTGGAACCCTCAGATTGGTGCAAGCATGTTGCCTAGCTTGTGTCAGGACAGGATCCCTGGGTGAGAAAGATGTGGGCATCGTAGGAGAGTGAGTAGAACCAGGCGGATGCAGACCTGAGAGCTCAGTGTAATGAGAGGACAGGATGTGGGGAATGTGGAGTCTCAAGAAAGGCAGGACTAATTTAGAGGAATGGATAACTTAAGCCATGGATAAAAGTTTATGGATTGAAGAAGGCAAATCTGTTTTATGTAATCCTGATCTTTTTATTAGCATCCAAAACACTGAAATCTGTTTTTACTTATTTATTAATTTTTCTGTAGGATAAATTCCAATTTACTAACTGGTATTTTCTTCTCTAAAGAAAAGAGTTGTTGTTACCAACCTCAATGGTCACACCTCCCGAGTCAATTGCATACAGTGGATTTGTAAACAGGATGGCTGTAAGTATTAACCAGATTGTTAAAGTTGATCTCAATTGTTTTCTGGTAAAGTATGATTAGCCATTTTTTTCTCATCACTTCTCTTAATGTATATTATTACCTTATATGATGTTAGGCAGTTGGAGAAATAGAAGAAAAATGATATGGCCAGTGAAATATCTGAACTGTATTTTTACTTTGTAGACGTTGAAGCTTGGATTATACAGCAGTGCTTAGGATGAGGGTAGTGCAGACCTAGACTTTGGCAGAATCCCATCCCACCTCCCTAGTTGCCCATAAACTTTTAAAAACTTGTAAGCAGGGCCTACCCTGAGGCTGTGATTCAGAGACTCAGCTTCTAGGTCTGTTTCTGCCACAAACAAGCTATTGCTTTTTTTTTAATTCTTTTTTCTTTTATTATTTAAAATTATTTATTTATTTTTTTTTTTAGGCTAACTGGCTGGAGACTAGAATGTTTATTTTTTTTAGAGACAGGATCTCACTTGTCCCAAGCTGGAATGCAGTGGCTCCCTCAGAGTTCCCTGCAGTAGCAGGGACCACAGGTGTGTGGCTTGATACCTCTCTAGTATTTTTTTTTTAAGACAGCGCTGTAGCCCAGGCTCCTCTGTACTTCTAATCTCAAGCAGTCTTCCCTCCATGGCCTCCCAAAGTGCTAGGATTACACATATGAGCTACTGTACCTGGTCAGTTACTGCTTTTTTAGGCAAGATATTGCATCTCTATTGACCTTAGTTTGCACCTTAGTTACGTCTGAAAAGTATAAAAGATTGAACTAGAAAAAGGGAGTCTTAGAATCTGTTTGAAAGACCTGTGAGATCAAATTATTTTCATAATAATATCAAGAAGTTATTCATAGTTTTCATTCTCATTCTGTCATGAATGTACAGTGTTTTCCAGCAGCCACATGATGTATGATACTGCAGCAGATTAAATACAGAAGCAGATAGGAAAATCCAGCTATATTCAAATAAAATCATATGTTAAAAAGATTTGTAGAAATGTGAAAGAGTTCCTCTTTTTCGTTAATTTTTTGTTTTGGAAACCATTGGGGTTTTTCCCCATCAAAATATTATGTATGTTAACATATCGTGGAACCCATTGTTATTTTTAAGTAAATGGTTAAACATGTATTTTTTTATATTTCTCAGTTTTAATTTCCAATGTGGTTAATATTGGTACATATTATTCATATAATCAAAAGCTTTTGGGGGGGTCCTCAAAAATTTTAAGACTGTAAAGGAATTCTAAGACCAAATGTTTTGAAAATTTCTGGACAAGATTATCTCCAGGTCTCTTCCATTTCTAAGATTCTGACTCCAGAATTTTTATTTGAAATATTGATTGCCTTTAGATGGTGCTACCAAAATCCTATGATAGTTCTTTAGTTATCTTAAATATACTTACTGTAGTATTGTTATGGATTCTGAATTAGTTTTATTTTTCATTCCACAAACATTTGAGGGCATTTTGAGCCAGGCACAAATGCAGAATTTCCTAAATTATTAAGACTTTGCTGTGATTTTATAAATGATGTTTAAAAAAGTTTAATAAGCTACTTCATTTGCTTCTGTAGGATTAGTCACATGTCAGGTCAGTAAAAATCATTAAATGGTACAAGGGGTGGCTATTAGTGTGGATAATAAAACACAATTGTAATTATATTAATTGCCACCAAATAACATCAAAGACTGACTCTCAGTATAGGTATTTGTTATAAAATATTAATTTGGGCTTGTATATTTTATCTTCCCTTTAAAAGTGAGGTTACATAAAATGAATTGCTTGAGTATTACTGTGATCTATAACTATTATGATTGATTTCCTTTAATCGAACTGCCAGATAATGCAGATAGCCTTTCCAATCCTTTATCAGTGATAAATAAAATTTTAATATCATTTCATGTTTTTATTATGTCTGAATTTTAACATATTACTTTTATGTATAGACATTGTTAAAATCATACAGTTTGTTAAGTGGCTTAATTTCTGTGACACATGAAGTTGAAGCCTATGATCACAGTTGGCTGGCAGCAGAGTTCGGACTTGAACCTGGGCCTTCTGAGTACAAATCTAATGCCCTCTAGACTATGCCAGCGGCTTCTCTGAAACAAATAAAAAGAAAATTCAAGCCCAATTTAGGTTATTTACCCCTTTTTTGGTACTATTTTTTCTTCTGTTATCACTGAGAAGTTGCAAGTGTTTAAGAGATCTATTTTGAAGTATGTCTCTAATTTCAAAAATAAGTCATATTCTTGATAGATGCACCTGACTACAACATTTCATATAATGTTCCTGCCAAGAGTGTTTAGCCTGCATCTAATCATGAGGAAACAGTCAAACGGGGATTGAGGGACATTCTGCAAAACAACTGCTGGGTACTGTCATTGTCACAAAAATGAGGGGGAGTAGGAAACTGTTCTAGATTAAAGAAGACTAAAAAGATGTGATATCCAAATGTTCAGTGTGTTTCTTTAGATTCTGCATCCCAAACAAAGTTATAAAAGGCATTACTGGGACAAATGGGACATTTTAATATGGACTGTATGTTAAATAATAATATTTAGCAATGTTAGAATTCTCGAATGTGATAATTGTATTGAGGTAATGTAGGAAAGTGTTTTCATCCTTAGGAGATATATGGTCTTTGAGGATCAGAGATCACAGTGTCTGCCACTTATTTTTAAGTAGTTTGCCTCCTAAAAAAGTTGTGTGTGTATGTATGTGTGTGCATATATGTGTGTGTGTGTGTGTGTGTGTGTGTGTGTATATATATATATATATATAAAGAGTGAGATATTAAGCGAATATGGCAAAATGTTACCAGTTTGTGAATCTAGGTAGAGGGTACAGGGATATTGTTCTTTGGTATAGCTTGGAAACTTTAAAAAAATCGCAGAAAAAAATGAATAAAGATATTTACTGAAATATTTTTTTCAGCCCCTTCTACTGAATTAGTTTCTGGAGGATCTGATAATCAGGTGATTCACTGGGAAATAGAGGATAATCAGGTGGGTAGACATGTTTATAATCATAAGAAATGATCTTGTTTGTTTGTTTGTTTTTTAAGAGGCAGAGTCTCACTCTGGCACCCAGGCTGAAGTGCAGTGGCGCGGATCATGGCTCACCTCAGCCTCCTGAGTAGCTGGGACTACAGGTGCCTGACATCATGCCTGGTTGATTTTTGTATATTTTTGTAGAGATGGGGTGTTAACTTTGTTGCCCAGGCTGGTCTCAGAAATGACTATTACATTTACTTTTAATTTTTTCCTTCAATTTAACTGTGTTATTCCTTCATGACGTTTTCCTAAATCTTGCTCATCAGCAGTGCAAATGCTGTATCTTTCGTACTACACAGGACCTGTACCCTTTGCTCTGATTTCTACTCGCATGTTTGTATGCTGTTAACTGTCTCTGGGAATTTCCTGTCGTTTTGGAATGATTTTCAAACTTTTCTTACATGGGCTGATCTGTTTTTAATGCTTTTGCTATACGAATATAAACTTACAAGACTCTCCTTAGTGCTACCCCACACTTCTGTCATAATATGTTTTTTAAAATTATCTGATTGAACTATAACTGTGCTTGAAGATGTGAAATGAGTATTTTCAATAGATTTAATATTTTTAGGGTGTAATGACAGGCTTATAAAAAATAAAAAAAGGTTATAAATATGAAAAGTATAAAAAAGGAAAAACCTATGCAAAATCTGAGCAGAGTTAACTTTCTGATGAAAGTCATTCCACATCTCTAGTTATATGTGTATAATTATGCATAACAGAGATTATACTGTATCTGAGGGTTTTTTTAAACCTTTTTGAGGTGAGATCTGGCTGTGTAGCCCAGGCTGGAGTGCAGTGGCTGTTTATAGGTACGATGTTAGTGCCCTATAGCCAGGACTCCTGGACTCAGGTGATCCTCCTACCTCAGCCTCCCAAGTTGGACTGCTGACACATACCACCACACCTGGGTTAAGTGTTTTTTCCAAGAAGTTAAAAGCTAATGATTCTAAAGAAAGTTAGTGTACAGACCTTTATATGTGAGTATTACATACCTTCTTTAGTAAGTATTATAATTGGAAAAACAACTGAAAAGACATTTAAGGAACACCAGTATTTCAGCAGACAGTTCATAGAAGATACCTTTGAAAAGAAGTGGTGGAATATCACACACTTGAAACTTAAAAAAAAAAGAAAACAACCAAAACATCAGTAGAAGAAATGCCAGAGGGAATAATCTTGATGACAAGCAGATAGACTTGATAAGCAAATGGAATTTCCCACTTCTCTTTGCTATTTTTTTATTTTGCAGACCTATTTGATTTAGGCAAGTATCCTGAGTGGATGCTAAAAGTACTTAGTAGAAGTTTGTTGGGGAATAGGATGTTTACTCAATCCCAAAATATACTCAGCACCAAAAAAAAAAAAAAAAATTGACACCACAGTGAAAAAACCTGGCAGATAATATTTCTACTAAATATGAAGGTTAGCTTCACTAAAACTTGGACAAACTGAAATCACTTGCCTCCTGATGGGATACGCTTATGTAGTAATGCTGTCAGAATGTATATTCTAAATCTATTCATAATGCAAATCAGACTAATCAATCAAATGGAGGAATATTTCACAAAGCTGAGCTATATATATTCTTCAGAAACACCAATGTCATGGACATCTTGCCATGGTTGTAAGCATATATTTATCTACATTATTCTTTTTATTGGCTACTTTATACATCTATAGTAATTTAATTAGTTGCCTGTCTTTAAGTTTAGGTTGATTGCAGTTTTTCACTGTTATAAACACTGGTAAATATTCATTTGTCTTTAATATTTGTTACCCTAGTGCTATTGTCTCCTGAGTAGATTCCTAGATATGAGATTGCTGTGTCACAGGGTATGCATGTTTTGTGTGTTGTTGATAGGGTCAGACAGACTTTTTGAAAAGTTTTGTTCTTTTTAACTTAGAGGACCCATTTCTGGTCAGACATTTTATTGGTAATTTATCCAATTAAATAAAGGTTAAAAAATTTCATTTTTTTTCCCACAATGCTTCTGTCACTCTTTCTGATACAGCTTTTAAAAGCAGTCTATCTTCAAGGCCATGAAGGACCTGTTTATGTGGTGCATGCTGTTTACCAGAGGAGGACATCAGATCCTGCATTATATACACTGATTGTTTCTGCAGCTGCAGATTGTACTGTTCGACTCTGGTCTAAAAAGGGTTCAGAAGGTAGGTTTGAAGACATGATAATCCAGACAAACAAAATAATATTTATCAAATGAATGACAGCTAGAAGAGCATATATATAATTTTTTAAAACTTTCAAGCAACTTTACAAATATAATTCTAATCTAAAATTTTCTTTTACATTTATTTAAAATTCTCTATGCCAGAATTTGCTCTCTGTAACATTGTTAAAATTTGGCTATTTAACTTCACGTGGTCGGTGGGGGGCTCAGGATTGACTTATCTCATCTCTATGCTGTTACGGGGGACTGTGATGATGTTACCCACGTCTCCGGTTGGATAAGCTCTGAGGTAGTTGTTCATGATGTTTTCTGTTATTTCTTAGTAACGTGCCTTCAGACTTTAAACTTTGGAAATGGATTTGCTCTGGCTCTCTGCTTGTCTTTTTTGCCAAATACTGATGGTGAGTATCCTGCTAAGTATATATTGAAAGAGCAGTATATTTGCATATTGTCATATGATTAGAACCTAAAAGAAATTTATTGGGTCTTAATTTAATTTTGTGCCTAAATGTTTCTACGAAGCAAGTTAAGATGTGAATAACATATTTTTATTATAATATTCAAATAATCTTAGTATGAAACATAAAGTTAAGGGGGGCTTATTAGGATTTTGAAAGCTATTGATAATTTGACTTACTATATACTCAACATTGATACTATTATCAAATATACTGTGGATGTACATAGATCTAATTTAGAGAAAGTATCTAATTCTTTAGAAGGTGAAGGTCTGGGGTAAGTTGAAAAAGTGTTGAATGAAGATAGCAAGTGAGCATTTCTCTCAAAACGATAGCTCCTTCACATCCTATGTAGTGACATTTTGCCCAAGACCACTTAAAATCTCCAAACAGAAAAATTTCCCTTTTGCTGTGAAACCCATCTGTACTTATCTTTGAGTATCTTCTACAAAGATAATAGCCAGTGTGAGTGAGTCAGCCTCTTTGCCTCCGCAGTTACCTGGAAGATAGGCCAAATGGAGAGAGGCAGGACCTGGAAGCCATCAGCCTCTCTTGCCCTCTGTAGCAGGAACTGTGACTCTATGGTTTCATGTTATGCTTCCATTTTGTGCAAGGCTCTGTGGAAAGAGAAGCTGCATACATTCTGGCATCAAACATAGAATTTCATTTATTCTGTCTGCATTCAGGCCAAGTGACTGGAGTGTTTTTTTCTTTGTTTGTTGTTTGGTAGTTGGTCTAAAGTAAGAAAATCTTTGAAAAACACATTTGGTGGCAAGGCATGTCCTAAGAAAAAGTCCCTGTTTTATCTAGCAGAGTCATTACGGCTTCCCTTTGGTAAAGCAAATTATTAATAATTTTTCCATCTTTTTTTTTTTTTTTGAGACGGAGTTTCGCTCTTGTTACTCAGGCTGGAGTGCAATGGCGCGATCTCGGCTCACAGCAACCTCCACTTCCTGGGTTCAGGCAATTCTCCTGCCTCAGCCTCCTGAGTAGCTGGGATTACAGGCACACGCCACCATGCCTAGCTAATTTTTTGTATCTTTAGTAGAGGTGGGGTTTCACCATGTTGAGCAGGATGGTCTCGATTTCTTGACCTCGTGATCCACCTGCCTCGGCCTCCCAAAGTGCTGGGATTACAGGTGTGAGCCACCGCGCCCAACCAATTTTTTTATCTTATTAAAGAAAATAATTTTACAGTCACGTCTTTCATAGCTTTTTTAAATTTTAAAATTTTAAATTTATTTATTTATTTTTTAGAGATTGCACTTAGCCTGGAGTGCAGTGGTGATCATAGCTCACTGCAGCCTCAAACTCCTGGGCTCAGGTTCCCATCTTAGCCAAGTAGCTGGAACTATAAGCATGCTCCACTACATCCAGCTAATTTTTTTATTCTTGTAGAGACAAGGTCTCTTTATGTTCCAAGGCTGGTCTTGAACTCCTGGATTCAAGTGGTTCTCCTGCTTCCCCCTCCCAAAGTGCTGGGATCACAGACATGGGCCACTGCATCTGGATCTCCTTGCATAGCTTTTTAAATTATTTATTTTTTCGACACAGGGTCTCATTCTGTTGCCCAGGCTAGAGTGCAGTGGTGTGATCACAGCTCACCTCAGCCTCCTGAGTAGCTGGGACTCCAAGCACCTGCCACCCTGCCTGGCTAATAGCCTTGTATAGATTTTTAGCCAGGTTGGAGTGCAGTTGTGTGATCTTGGCTCACTGCAGTCTCTGCCTCCTGGGTTCAAGTGATTTTCCTTCTTTAGCCTCCTGAGAAGCTGGGATCACAGACCATGCCCAGATAATTTTTGTACTTTTAGTAGAAACAGGATTTTGTCATGTTGGCCAGGCTGGTCTGAAACTCCTGATATCAGGTTATCTACCCACTTCAGCCTCCCAAAGGATCATGCCCTAAGATTACAGGCGTGAGCCACTGCACCCAGCCTTTTATTTTGTTTTAAAATAAAACAAGGTTTTCAAACAAAATATAAGGTCCTCAAGGTAACAAACATACCCTTAAATCTGTGTGCAGTAGCCATAATGCTGGGGCTCATAGTAGCTGTTCATTATTTAGTTGTCTTAATAACTTTCATCTTGGTCTTCTGGCTGACATGGTGAAAATGCTCTCTACTTGCTCTTGAGCTTATCTTTCCACTTCTTCTATCATAAGTGGGATTGAATGGAGGGAAGGACTGGATTCTCATTTAGTAGTCATTGTTTACCAAGTAACCACTGAATAGGACATTTTAGAATGTTCATTGTATTCCTGTAGAGCTTGAGCATTATCAATTATTCATGTAGTGGTGTGGGAAACAGAAGTCAGGATTCTTTACTTAAACCTTACAATCCAGTATAGTTGATAATCATAACAGGTAGTGGAATAGAGAACTCACAGTAAAGCCCGTTTTTTTTTCTACCCCCCCCCAGTACCAATATTAGCATGTGGCAATGATGATTGCAGAATTGACTTATTTGCTCAACAAAATGATCAGGTAATAATATTATTAAGAGGCTGGAATTATATTCTGCTTAGTTATATCTCAATACAGACTATATCCAGACTATAGAATTTTAGGAATGTTCTAATCTAAACCAAAGTAATCCAATAGAAGAATCTTTTTTTGGCAGTCGTCTGTTAAGATGGTTGTCTACTCTGAACATGAAGTAACTGCTACCTTGACCATCAGGCTCAGAGTTTTTAGGGGGAAACAGGTCATTAGGTGGGGGAGGAGAGATGGAAGATGGTGTGGTAGTTGTTTTTCTCTTAAAAATTTAAATGAGATACAACATACCTACAGTGAAGCATTCCTAGTAGTGTTTATTTGCCCTTCTGAGCTTTTCTTATACTTTGAGTAGTTAAACTAAAGAAGAGAGATTTCGAAAGGGGTTGGCTAACTCTAGGCTTATTTATTTAATAGTGAGGATACTTGTTTCTTTGCATTCTATAAGAAGGTTAAAAATGGTTGTGAAAGTCCATCTATTCAAATTTTTTTTTTTTAATGGAGTTTTCCTTTTGTTGCCCAGGCTGGAGTGCAATGGTGTAATCTTGGCTCACCACAACCTTTGCCTCCTGGGTTAAAGCGATTTTCCTGCCTCAGCCTCCCAAGTAGTTGGGATTACAGACATGGACCACCATGCCCGGCTAATTTTGTATTTTTGGTAGAGATGCAGTTTCTTCATGTTGGTCAGGCTGGTGTCCAACTCCTGACCTCAAGTGATCTGCTCACTTCGGCCTCCCAAAGTGCTGCTGGGATTACAGGCATGCGCCACCACACCCTGCTTTTTTTTTTTTCCATGTTGTGTTTCCTGGGCTAGTACAGTGGTGAGGACATGGCTCACTGTAGTTTTGACTTCCTAGGCTCAAGCAGTCCTCCTGCCTCAGTCTCCTATGTAGTTGAGACCACAGGCATGTATCACCATGCTTGGCTAATTTTTAAATTTTTTGTGGACACATGGCCTCACTTTTTTGCCCAGGCTGGTCTCAATCTCCTGGCCTCAAGTGATAGACTCACCTCAGCCTCCCAAGGTATTAGGATTATAGGTGTGAGCTACTGTGCCCAACCCACCTTTTGTCTATATTGTATCTACAGTAGGTATCATTTTATCTTATAAACATTTAAAGTATTTGAGATTACAAATGTTATATTACCTACTCAGAGTTGCTCCAGTTAGTGATTTAGATATTATGTGATGGGTTTTTCATTGCCAACCTGAAAGCTTTTTCCTGTCTAATTATATAGTGTTCTCAGTAAAAGAGCAATGCAGTAGGACTGTCTGAGACCAAATGATGTCACTGTTATATATGAAGTTGTTAAATTCTTACATCAAGCCCAATAATTTTTATTTTATTAGTTTCAGAAAGTGCTTTCTCTCTCTGGACATGAGGATTGGATTAGAGGAGTGGAATGGGCAGCCTTTGGTCAGTATGTAATTTTGCTAATGCACCCATAATGGGAGCAAGTATGTATTCCTTCCAAGAAAACAGGCTTTTATGTTTTAATTTTTAAGTTTTATTTGTATGTCATGATTTTCTGTTGTCCCAATGAGAAAGGAGGATGCTTATCCCTTCTGTTAGTTGTTAGTTGGGTGGTAGAGGATTAAACAAATTGATATTTATTTATTAGATGATACTAGCTGTCTTGTTCACATGCAGACCTTCTTGTAAAGTTCTTTGTAGAACTTAGTAGACTATATATGAATACTACATGTTTTAAACATGTATTAGTATTGTATGCATATTTGTCAGTGTTACTAAAAATGAATATAGGTCAAATGAAGGGTAAGGAAACAAAGTATTGTATTTTTCAGGAAACCTAGAAATACATGTATTATAGAGAAAAAAGTCTTATACCTAAACTTCACAATATAATATTTTAAAATTAATAACAACTTATTTTTTAATTAGGTAAAGATCTTTTCCTAGCAAGCTGTTCACAAGATTGCCTGATAAGAATATGGAAGCTGTATATAAAGTCAACATCTCTAGAAACTCAGGATGATGATAACATAAGACTGAAAGAAAATACTTTTACTGTAGAAAATGAAAGTGAGTAATAATGAAAATATCTGATATAAAAATACTTAGGTCTCCTAATTGGTTCATTTTTTTTCTCACCACACACCTGTGTGAAGGTTAGTTTTTCACAGGTGTCAGATTCCTAGATTCCTACCTGAAATTTCTTTGTTCTTTTTTTTTCTTTTTTTGAGACAGAGTTTTACTCTTGTTGCCCAAGCTGGAGTGCAATGGCATGATCTCAGCTCACTGCAACCTCCACCTCCCACATTCAAGCGATTCTGTTGCCTCAGTCTCCTAAGTAGCTGAGATTACAGGCATGAGCTACCACACCCGGCTAATTATTTTGTATTTTTAGTAGAAATGGGGTTTTACCACATTAGCCAGGCTGGTTTAAAACTCCTGACCTCAGGTGATCCGCCCGCCAGTCTGCCCGCCTTGTCCTCCCAAAGTGCTGGGATTACAGGTGTGAGCCACTGTGCCTGGCTTCTTTTTTTTTGAGGCATCTTACCCAGGCTGGATTGCAGTGGCATAATCACAGCTTACTGCAGCCTTGAACTCCTTGGCTCAAGTGGTCCCCCGGCTTAGCTTCTGGAGAAGCTAGGACTATGCCACCACACCCAGCTAATTTTTAAAATTTTTTGTAGAGATGGGGTCTCGCCCGTTTCTACAGAAGACAATCTCCCTTTACAGGTGGGAATTATGGAGATTATAATTCAAGATGAGATTTAGGTGAGGACACAGAGCCAAACCATATCAGTATTTTAGGCTATTAAATTCTCATAATGAGTGAGGATAATAAGGATGCTGACATGTCTGTTTTTCCTTCCTCATTGTAATATAATAGTAGCTGTCTCAAAAAATTGTAACACTAGAAGATACTCCTTAATACTTATTTATTACCAGCTAAAACAAAATATAAGGAAAAATTAATAACTTTTTCTTCTGTAATTTTGAATAGTAGTTGAGATTAAAGAAATTTAGAATGCATGTTCTTTTTGTTGAATCTCAACTATCATATTTTATTCTAATTTTTTTTATATAGTTGTCCAACTGGCTTGGTTATGAAAATATTCTTTTTAGAAGAGCTTTGAGGAAATAATACCTTCACTGCTTTTGTTATAGGTGTTAAAATAACCTTTGCTGTTTCTCTGGAGACAGTGCTAGCTGGTCATGAAAACTGGGTAAATGCAGTTCACTGGCAACCTGTGTTTTACAAAGGTAGGAAGAAAAGCATACACACATCCCTTACTCCAGTTAAATCTTATGGCATGGTAAGCTGACCAAATCAAGTGGAGAATTTTTTTAGTATGATGAGAAATCTCAAGTACATAACATTTGCAAGTTGGCAAAGTATAATACTGCATTCCTATTCTGCTGGACATTCAATTCTATTGAACATTGAACTCCTAAGTGGGAAAAGTGTGATTCCTGCCATGGTGCTAAACTACCACACGCTCATTAAGTTTTTCTCTTAAAACTTTCCACTGGGTATATATCCAAAGGATTATAAATCGTTCTACTATAAGGACACATGCACATGAATGTTCATTGCAGCACTGTTTACAATAGCAAAGACCTGGAATCAACCCAAATGCCCATTGATGATAGACTGGACAGGGAAAATGTGGCACATATACACCATGGAATATTATGCAGCAATCAAAAATGATGAGTTCGTGTCCTTTGTAGGGACACGGATGAATCTGGAGAACATCATTCTCAGCAAACTGACACAAGAACAGAAAATGAAATATTGCATGTTCTCACTCATAGGCGGGTGTTGAACAATGAGAACACATGGACACAGGGAGGGAGCACTACACGCTGGGGTCTGTTGCGGAGAATAGGGGAGGGACAGCAGGTGGTGGGGAGCTGGGGAGAGATAGCATGGGGAGAAATGCCAAATATAGGTGAAGGGGAGGAAGGCAGCAAATCACACTGCCACGTATATACCTATGCAACTATCTTGCATGTTCTTCAAATGTACCCCAAAACCTAAAATGAAATTAAAAAAGAAAAAACTTTCCACTTGATTATTATGGGATTTAAGAAAAACTGACTCTCAAGCCAACTTCACTGGATCCTTTACCTTCAACAATAACAAAGTTGGTACCACTGAGATACATTATTTATGAGGAAGTAAGGCTCTGGTTCTCTGTCTTTCTTTTGCTTTTTTTTTTGAGACAGAGTTTTGCTCTTGCTACCCAGGCTGGAGTGCAATGGCGTGATCTTGGCTCACTGCAACCTCCGCCTCCTGGGTTCAGGCAATTCTCCTGCCTCAGCCTCCTGAGTAGCTGGGATTACACGCATGCACCACCATGCCCAGCTAATTTTTATATTTTTAGTAGAGGATGATCTCGATCTCTTGACCTCGTGATCCACCTGCCTCAGCCTCCCAAAGTGCTGGGATGATAGGCGTGAGCCACTGCGCCTGGCCTCTTTTGCCCTTTATCTCCGTTATGGAGTGACAGTTCTGTGCATGTTCCGGCTGGTGCTGAGTGTACAGGTAGGTGAAGCATAGCCTCACATTCTTCCCTGGCCTCTTCCCCAAGACAACAGCAATAATTAATTTTTAGGCAAACCACCATTCAGTTCTTCCTTACATTATGCCATGTTTGCTATATTAAAAAAAACAAAAAAGTTGGAATTATGGATATTGAAGACCCCGTTATGTATTCTTTCCTTAACATTTCCCTTTCATCCATCCCTAGAGGCAATGATAATAATGAATTCAGTGCATATCATTTTCATGCATGTTTTTTACCGTTGCTACACATCTGTATAGCTATAAACAATATTGTTTTATAGCTGTTAAAAGTTGGTAGCAATATGTATTCTTTTACAGCTTGCCTTTTTAGCTTACTGTGTTTTAGAGCTGTGTCCACATTGATTTATGAAGCTCTAGTTATTTGTCTTTATTGTACAGTAATACTGTCTGAATGTATTACAACCTGTTTATCTCTTCTAATGGTAGACATTTGTGGTGTTTGCACTTTTTTGCTGTTACAAATAATGCTGCAGTGAACATTCTTGCAGTACCCATACTTTTTTTTTTTTTCTAGTAATCTACAAACATGATGCTTGTTGATGACCTAAAGGGATTAGGTTTTATTTTTTAGATGGTGTTCTACAGCAGCCAATGAGATTATTGTCTGCTTCCATGGATAAAACCATGATTCTCTGGGCTCCAGATGAAGAGTCAGGAGTTTGGCTAGAACAGGTAAAAATTTTAGATATTTAAGGAACAGAAAATTAAGTTTTGTGAACTCTGTATTTAAATCCTAAGTCTATAGTGATAAACCTGCAAATTTTCACTCTTCGTGTATGTTAAAATACTGGGAATTTAACAATCTCTAGAATCAGTGGTTTCTCTTGTGAGAAATGTGGACTATTGGCTAAGAATTGTTTTCTGTCTGTTATTGTACAGGTTCGAGTAGGTGAAGTCGGTGGGAATACTTTGGGATTTTATGATTGCCAGTTCAATGAGGATGGCACCATGATCATTGCTCATGCTTTCCACGGAGCGTTGCATCTTTGGAAACAGAATACAGTTAACTCAGTAAGAAAAGAACATTTAAATAAAACATTTCTAATCAAATAGAGTGAATCCTAGCTAAATAGTATTTTACTCATAACACTCTACAGAAACATAAGTTAAAGTGACATAACTTTTTTCTGTAGACACCGTTGAGGTATTGAAATTTGCATGTAGTAAATTTTCCACGTAAGTGCACTGTATTTCTTTAAGCTATAGAAGTTTTTAATGAGAACTTTTCTGAAATGTGTAGCTTTCCTGTCTTCTTAAAAAGATAACATAATTAGTTGTCTTGCTGGACTACTAGGTCCCTATTATTGAATGAATGTCAGTCACAATAAATGACTGGAGCACACCTGGGCATGGTGGCTTGTGCCTATAATTCCAGCAACTTGGAAGGCTGATATGGGAGGTTTGCTTGAAGCCAGGAGTTTGAAAACACCCTTGTTGATAGAATAAGACCCTGTCTCCAAAAAAAAAAAAAAAAAATAGTCTTCTTTCTTTAGTCATGTAACTGTCTCTCTACAGCATTTCTTCTCTTACTTTGTAATCTGATTTACTTCTGATTTACTTCTAGTTTGGGAACATTAGATAGCAAGAAAAGAGTGGCCAAGAGCACAGGCCCTTGGAGCTAGCCAGCCTGGGTTCACTTACTAGCTGTGTGTCCTTGAGGACTTTAATTAATCCCTGCCTCAGGTTCTTCTCATCTGTAAAATGTAGATAGATTTTTTGTTTTCTTTTAACAGGATCTCTCTCATCTGTAAAATGTAGATAGATTTTTTTTTTTCTTTTAACAGGATCTCTGTCACCTAGAGTGATCATAGCTTACTGCAACCTCATACTCCTGGGGTTAAGCAGTCTTCACACTTCAGCTTCCTGAGTAGTTGGAACTATATGTGTGCATCACCACACCCAGCAAATAATTAAATTTTTTTTTGTAGACACAGGGTCTTGCTTTGTTGCCCAGGCTGGTCCTCATCCTCCTGCTCAGTCTCCCAAAGTGCTGGGATTACAGGTGTGAGCCACTGCATCTGGCATGTGGATTGTTAATAGCAGCTATTTACAGGGTTATTTTTTTGTTTTGTTTTTGAGACGGAGTTTTGTTCTTTTGCCTAGGCTGGAGTACAATGGTGTGATCTTGCCTCACTACAGCCTCTGCCTCCTGGGTTCAAGTGATTCTCTTGCCTCAGCGTCCTGAGTAGTTGGGATTACAGGTGCCCACCACCACTCCTGGCTAATTTTGTATTTTTAGTAGAAACAGGCTTTCACCATGTTAGCCAGGCTGGTCTCAAACCCCTGACCTCAGGTGATCCACCAACCTTGGCCTCCCAAAGTGCTGGGATTACAGGCATGAGCCATCGCACCCAGCCTACTTAAAGAGTTTTTATGAAGCTTAAATGAGTTAATATTTATATGATGTGCAAAACAAGGCCTGGCACATATTATTTTATATAAAAATATTTAACATATTTTATATTATTATTTTTTAACACTTATTGGTGTGTTATAAAGGATATTGCAAAAGAAACAGAAGAAGAGACATACAAGGTGAGGTATGGGAGAAGGGGTACCAAGCTTCCATGCCCTCCCTGGGCGTACCATCCTACAGGAACCTTCATGTGCTTAGCTATTTGCAAGCTCCCTGAACTGTGTCCTCTTTGGTTATTATGGAAGTTTCATGATGTCAGCATTTTTTCCCCCAGGGCGGAACCCTCTTATGGTGGGGTTTAAGACGTACAATCAGACAGGTGGGGAAGATTAGAGTCCTGTTTTGGGGCAGGTGAAAGGAGGTCAGGAGACAGTCAGTCAGAGGCCTGCCCCTGAAGCCTAACATACCAACATTGTAACTGAAGACTGTAACAGGGCTGTGGGAGTTTTAAGCCAGGAACTATTGTCAAAGAAAACCAAAGTACCTAACATCTCAGGCCAGGGATCCTTTACATAAAAAAATATAGGTTGGGTGTGGCAGCCTATGCTTGTAATCTCATTGCTTTGGGAGGCCAAGGTGGGAGGATTACTTGAGCCTAGGAGCTCGAGACCAGCTTGGGAAACATAGGAAGATCCCCATCTGTATAAATAATTTTAAAAATTAGCCACGGGTATGCAGCCCTGGGCATGGTTGCAGGCGCCTGTGGTCCTAGCTACTTGGAAGGATGACGCAGGATTGCGTGAGCCTCGGAAGTTGAGACTGCAGTGAGCCATGGTTAAGCCACTGCATTCCAGCCTGGGCAATAGAGCAAGACCCTGCCTCAAAAAAGAAAATGTATACACACACCCAAAATCAATCATTAGTCTAGTCCGTCATACTGTATGAATGCTTCCCAGGATGAGGCCACTCAGGTTTGCAGATTTCCTCCAATCTTGTCAGGTTTCAGAAGGAGTGGTCTCGGTACATATTATATACAGCTTCACTCTTTAAGACACCTGGGATAATTGAGCTAAGAGACAGTGTCATCTCTTGCTCTGAGACTCTCTTCTGAGTTGTTAATGTAATATTGAATTTTCCTCAGTGATCCATTTATTCATTTCTTTACTCTCAGCTGCTACTTTCCTTTCTTTATTAGTACCCAAACCTTTTCACCTTTTGAAGGAACATTAGAATTGCCATTGTGCTGGTCTAGATTGCTGGCAGTAATACAAGTCAAGCAAGTAGCTCCTCGGTCCACTACATTCAGACAGGGTGAGGTTAGGTAGATGCCAAACTAGTGAGCTGTTTTTACCAGCAGGCAGTGTAGCTATTTTCACCTTTAGGCCCAATTTTGCTAGATGGGTGAAGGTACAAACCTACCCCCATGCCTTAGGAGTTTTGATATAATGCTTAGAGACATAGTTAAATGTCGTGTGTGTGTGTGTGTGTGTGTGTGTGTGTGTGTGTGTCCCTGCTGTTTCAGCACTTCTTGCAGCCCTGGTCCTAGGACCACTGCATCAAGTAGAGGAGAAAAAATAAAAGACATTTTTTTTTTAAGGTGATTTGGGGAAGAAAGAAAAAAAAAACCGTAGTCATTTTACCAGTGTACTCCTCCCTTGGCAAGAACTGCATAGTCATACCAGCATCCTCCCCAACCCTCTTCCCCATATCATCAAGAAAAGCAAAAAACCCAGCAGGGACATTAGTCATACCAGCAACCTCCTCAACCCCCTTCCCCATCAACAAGAAAAACAAAAAATCTAGCAGGGACACTCAAGTTCCACTCATGTTGAATGTGAGTACACACTCATGAAGGTATATATAAGCCAGCCCTTCGTGCTTTTATCTCCCCCTATTTTATTTTTATTATTATTATTATTATTTCAGACTGAGTTTCGCTCTTGTTACCCAGACTGGAGTGCAATGGCACGATCTCGGCTCACCACAGCCTCCGCCTTCTGGGTTCAAGCAATTCTCCTGCCTCAGCCTCCTGAGTAGCTGGGACTACAGGCGTTCACCACCAGGCCCAGCTAATTTTTGTATTTTTAGTAGAGACAGGGTTTCACCTTGTTGACCAGGATGGTCTCGATTTCTTGACCTCGTGATCCACCCGCCTCGGCCTCCCAAAGTGCTGGGATTATAGGCGTGAGCCACCATGCCCGGCCTATCTCTCCCTATTTTAGATAACAAATGTTTCAGTTGCCCATTCTACTTCTCTGTCAAACTATGACTCTAAGGAGGAGATAGATCTGCCCATAGTTGGATATTATGAGCTGTACAGTGTATTCTTTGGTCTGAAGAGATGTGGTCAGCCATCCAGATCAGTTTAATATCTTCTGCTGGTTTTTTAATGGCACATTGAGCATTTTTATCTTCCACTGGATAAGCAAAACCTACTACACAGTCAGTTTCAGTTCCTGTCAAGACCCATTTATAGTTCCCCAGGGCTACTAGCGTCAGTCTTACTTGCCAGCCATGTTCACGGCCTTCTCACCAGAGTCTGTGTCCTGTAGTCATCAGCAGTCTCTGTCTCTCTTGCTGACAAACAGAGCAGTTCTTCCTGGCATTAGTTACCTTGGAATTGCCATCTATTAACTAAGCAGTTCTTGAGAGCTATTCATCTGACACTGCAGAATCCAGCAGTTTTTCACATACTTCCAGAGTCAGTTCTAGGGGAAGAGAAACTCTTTGCTTGTGTTATCTCCTCCTTGCATTCCGCAGGTAGCATAAACTATTTCCATTTTATTATGGAACTCTTCCTGGCACTGCCGTCCCCATTAGAATGTTTCTCTGACATCACCGGAGACTGTGGGTATTTCAGGTATCTTAGGGGTAGTTTCAGCTAATGTCTTGAGGGGCAAGACAGTAAATGCCCCTCAAGTGGAAATTCTCTAGTCCAAACCCCAGTAGTTGTTACTGGGAGGTGCTCAGAGGCTTTAGCCATAAGCCTGAGGAGCTCTGCCACAGTGGGTGATGAAGTAGAGAATTTATCCTTCCCAGCACTCTGGCTTCTACTCTGCATTTTGTGGTTCAGGCAATTCTGGTTCCCATTTAGCATATCCAGTTAATATTGCCTGAAGGTCAGATTTACATGCCTTCTGTTTTACAGTACCAGGTAGGGGAAATATTCCCCAATCAGAAACAACGTTCATTCCCATCATATAATCAGGTAAAAGAGATGCAACCACTTCATATGAAGTGTGTTTAAATATACCAACTTTCCTAATCCTATTAACACTTTTTTTTTTTTTGAGACGGAGTTTCGCTCTTGTTACCCAGGCTGGAGTGCAATGGTGCAATCGCGGCTCATCGCAACCTCCGCCTCTTGGGTTCAGGCAGTTCTCCTGCCTCAGCCTCCTGAGTAGCTGGGATTACAGGTACACGCCACCATGCCCAGCTAATTTTTTGTATTTTTAGTAGAGACAGGGTTTCACCATGTTGACCAGGATGCTCTCGATCTCTTGACCTCGTGATCCACCCGCCTCAGCCTCCCAAAGTGCTGGGATTACAGGCTTGAGCCACCGTGCCCGGCCAACACTTACTTTTTTATGTTCTCTTTTCAGGAACTTCACCCCCAAGCTTTACTCTTTCTTGTGGAAAAAGCTTTGGGTCCCTTGCTGCTGAGGGTTGAACCTAAAAACTCCAGCCCTTTTGTCAGTCTTTATCTTCATTAGTTTCCCCCACTATTGTCCCAGGCCAGATCACATTTTTCATTGTAGTCTCTGCCTTCCAGCTTTTTTTTTCTTTATTTTTTTGAGATGGGGTCTCATTCTGTTGCCTAGGCTGGGGTACAGTTGTGCAGTCCTGGCTGACTGCAGTCTCAACTTCCTGGGCTCAATCGATCTTCCCACCTCCACCTCGTGAGTAGTTGAGACTTTAGGCAGGCATCACAATACCCGGCTAACTTTTTGTATTTTTTGTAGAGACAGGGTTTTGCCATGTTGCCCAGGCTTGTCTCAGACTCCTGGGCTCAAGCAGTCTACCCACTTCTCCCTCCCAAAGTGCTGAAATTATAGGCATGGGCCACCATGACCTGCTCTACCTTCCAGCTTTTAACGTTTCTCCAAACTGGGAGAAATACAGTAAACTGGTTTGGCATCCTTTAAAGGTAGGAGACCAGGAGGGACTCCCTTTGGTCCAGCCAACCTCTGATAGTGTTGTATTAATACCTTTGTTTTAGGCCAGGCATGGTATCTCACACCTGTAATCCTAACACTTAGGAAGGCTGACGTGGATGGATCTCTTGAGCCCAGGGGTTTGAGACAAGCCAGGGCAACATGGCAAACCTTGTCTCTACAAAAAATACAAAAATTAGCCAGGTGTGGCTAATTCTTTTTTTTTGAGTTGGAGTTTCGCTCTTATTACCCAGGCTGGAGTGCAATGGCGCGATCTCGGCTCACCGCAACCTCCACCTCCTGGGTTCAGGCAGTTCTGCCTCAGCCTCCCGAGTAGCTGGGATTACAGGCACGCGCCACCATGCCCAGCCAATTTTTGTATTTTTAGTAGAAACGGGGTTTCACCATGTTGACCAGGATGGTCTTAATCTCTTGACCTCGTGATCCACCTGCCTCAGCCTCCCAAAGTGCTGGGATTACAGGTGTGAGCCACCACGCCCGGCCCATGGCTAATTCTTTAGTGTGAAGAAATAACAATTGGCCATTCATATCCATTTAGTATCTTCTGTTTTTGTTTTTTTGAGATGGAGTTTTGCTCTTGTGGCCCAGGCTGGAGTGCAATGGCGTGATCTCGGCTCACTGCACCTTCACCTCCGAGGTTCAATTGATTCTCCTGTCTCAGCCTCCTGAGCAGCTAGGATTGCATGTGCCCACCACCATGCCCGGCTAATTTTTTTATTTTTATTTTTAGTAGAAGTAGGGTTTCACCATGTTGGCCAGGCTGGTCTTGAACTCCTGACCTCAAGTGATCTACCCTCCTTAGCCTCCCAAAGTGTTTGGATTACAGGCATGAGCCACCATGCCTGGCCAGTTCTGGTTTTTTAATGTTTTTTTTCAGCTACTCAGAGGCTGAAGTGGGAAGATCATTTGGGCCTGGGAGGGAGGATGAGGCTGTAGTGAGCCATGATCGCGTCAGTGCGCAAAGATCTTTGTTTTAACACCATCAGTTTCTGTTTTATTTATTCTGTTTCTTAATAGCCATCTAAAGATTTCCATCCTGCTGGTGTGAGTCCCATGACTCTTCCCTTTGTTTTTCTTCTTAGTTTCATTGCATCAATGTTTTCTTTATTCACCTTATTAATAGCCATTTAAAAATTTCCGCCTTTCTGGAATGAATCCTTAACTCTCCCTTTTACCTTCCCTATTTTTTCTTAACCTAATGTTTTTATTAGCATCTGTAAGACTCATGAGGAGAAGCTTAGACAGCAAGTTTGATAAGGCTTTTTGAACTGTTTATCAATTCTGCAGCACCACCACATGGGGTGCCCATGTAGAAGGGACCCCCTTAACCATAGCATTTACCAGGACCTGGGTAACAGGCATATTCAGCAGGTGAATATCCCTGTCATCACAAAGCCAGTCTCACAAGGCATACATACAAAGCATTTTGGTGCCCTATCTGGGGTGTTACACGTGGTATTTATAGATTACGTTAGGCAGTCCCCATTTTCAGGGGTAAACAGACCTTATAGTGGTTTTTATCCTGTCTACCTGGCTGGCTGTTCCCTCAGGAATAATATTTGTGTCTGGATTATTTGTCCTCATCCATGATTGTTCACTTGTGAGCTGTGGGTCCTGCATCAACCCAAACATACTCTTCCACTCTGTAGCATTTAAAACAAATTATACTGCCCCTAATTTAATCACTCTCATCATCCATTTTAGCAAAGGTTCCTAAAGAAGCTGATGATACCGGTCTATAACATGTAACAATTCCTTCACACTATACCCTTTGGTTTCAGTAGTTACTAGGTTTTGCCCTTCCCCCACATTGAATACCTTCTTAGTAACCACAGAGCTTAGCAATACTTTCTATTGTCCCTGCATAATTCTCTCCTTTGTGGGTGACTTTGAGGCTAGTAGCCTGAGTTCACACCCACATTTGAGCTGGGCCCAGCCTCCAGTCCTTACTCAACACCCTCATGTACTTTCATTTTAGCCATTATAGGTAACAGTAACCAAGGGATTGAATATTGGATTGAATATTTCACTTTTTTCTGAGTAGTTTGCATTTCCTTATGCATCCAATGAACCAACTCTTGGAGTTGGATCTACCTCTAAATTCCACTGGTAACTATAACCTTTAGTCGCTGATCTCAACACAGCTGCAGCTTCATACCATTGGTGAGCCTGTGATCAAAGATTCCTCATTCCCCATCCTTTTATCCTTTTTATTCCCAAACCACATGTTTCTGTGAGTCAGGGCCTTTCCAGCAAATCCTGCTTCACTAACATCAAGAAGGTAGGGAAAACTCTCTCTTACACAACAATAATCATCAACTTCTGTAAGTAAATGTGTGGGGATTTCTTTGCCCCACATACCAAGCAGCAGACACCAGCTGGGTGTCTTCTAATTCAGTTTCAACACTCTCTACCTAGAGATAGTGTCAGATCCCAGAGGTTCAGAGCTCAGTCCCCAAGACTGTGTCCCCTACTCCACCAGTCACAAGCCTAGGCCTCAGGAACTTCTGACTGGCCAGCTTCAAGTTGGGGTTCCCTCAACTGCCTCTTTAGGTTCAGTTAATTTGGGGCAGCTCATAGAACTCAGGGAAACGCTTAACATTTGTTGGTTTATTGGATTGAAAGTGACTTGTTTTTTAAATAGACTTTTTTTTTTTTTAATAGAGCAGTTTTAGGTTAACAGCAAAATTGATCTGAAGGAATAGAGTTTCCATGACCCTCTACCCCCATACATCAACTTATAGCCTCCCCACTGTCAACATCCCACAGCAGAGGGGTACATCGTTACAGTCAAAGGTGATTTTTTTAAAAGCTGAACACTGCCCTTTAGGACTGTTACTGTGAGAAACTGTATTGTTAGTTCAAAAGTGCTGTCCATTGAGCAGACCTTTTTGTAAACGCCCATTAGTGCTAACTTTAGAATCAGTTTTTGTTCACAGAGGCAGTAACATTTTTTGTCACAGCCTTTTTTTTTTTAATCAGAAATAATATAGTGTAGTCACTGACTTATCCATCAGACTAGATTTTGAATGACCTATTAGCTATTTATACACATTTAATTTTCCTCTAAAGGTTGTTTTATTCCCACTTGAGGTTGTTCAAAAAGATGCTCTATGGACCAGGCACGTGACATTTTCTCTATTTTGTTGTCATTGTTTGTTTATATGGTTGTTGCAGGCTTCTTAGTGGGTGAACCAACTAGGTTTGATTCATTTTTTTCTGTCACTACACCTGTAACTCCTTTTACTTATAAAGCCATCAGGCCCACATCCACTAACTCGTCTTACACAGTATTTTTACATTTTATGCAATTTTCATTTAGCTTAATAAATACATAGAACCTAGTATATACCAGAATTATCTTATGTACTTTACAAATGTACCTCATTTAATCCTCATAATAACCCTAGAAGGTAGGTGCTATTATAATACCTGTTTTATTCTATAATTGAGACACAGGTTAAGTAGTGCCTGGCTGCTCAGTAAATGATGAATGGGGGGAAAGTTCCCACATTTACTGCTTTAAAGGATACAACACATATTTGAATGCCTAAGCTCTTATGTGATTGATTGGAAAGTGGATCCTGTTATTCTGTGATCCAATCTTGTATACTTAGCTTTTCACCTTGCCAGAGGGCTTTAGTCTTCTCTGTTACCAGACATGAGTGCTTTACTTTGGTGGTAGTCTGATTATTTTGATATGTGCCATGAGCACTTTCTTTGCAGAGAGAGTGGACTCCAGAGATTGTCATTTCAGGACACTTTGATGGTGTCCAAGACTTAGTCTGGGATCCAGAAGGAGAATTTATTATCACTGTTGGTACTGATCAGACAACTAGACTTTTTGCTCCATGGAAGAGAAAAGACCAATCACAGGTAAAATGTCTTCTTTTATGTATTTATTTATTTAGTTTTGGGACAGAGTTTCACTCACATCACCCAGACTGGAGTGCAGTGGTGCAATCTTGGTGCACTGCAGCGTCCTCCAGGTTCAAGCAATTCTCCTCTCTCAGCCTGTGGAATAGCTGGGATTAGACACACCCACTACCACGCCCATCTACTTACTGTATTTTTAATAGAGATGGGGTTTCACTGTGTTGGCCAGACTGGTCTTGAACTCCTGACCTTAGGTCATCCACTTGCCTTAGCCTCTCAAAGTGTTGGGATTACAGGCATGAGCCACTGTACCTGGCCTCTTATTTTACTAATCTATTTGAAAGAAAATATCCATGAACACATGAAAATTAGGGCAACTATGCTAGCTAGCCATTAGGAAAATGCAGATTAGAACCATGATGCACTGGGTGTGGTGGCTCACGCCTGTAATGTCAGCACTTTGGGAGGCTGAAGCAGGTGCATCACAAGGTCAGGAGTTTAAACCAGCCTGGCCAAGATGGTGAAACCCCATCTCTACTAAAAATACAAAAATTAGCCAGGTGTGGTGACAGGCACTTGTAATCCGAGCTACTTGGGAGGCTGAGGCAGAGAATTGCTTGAATCCGGGAGGTGGAGTTTGCAGTGAGTTGAGATCATGCCATTGCATTCCAGCCTGGGCAACAGAGCAACACTCTGTCTCGAAAAAAAAAAAAAACAAAAAAAACAAAAAACGAACCATGATGCAATACCTCCACACACCCTCTTGAATAAAGTAAAAAATATATTAACAAGTGCTGGTAAGGATGCAGAATGATACAGCCACCCTGGAAAACGGTTGGACTTTTTGTTTTTTGTAGAGACAGGATCTTGGTATGTTGTGCAGGCTGGCCTTGAACTCCTGGTCTCAAGTGATCCTCCTGCCTCAGCCTCCCAAGTAACTAAGACTACAGGTGTGAGCCACCACACCCAGCTAATTTTTAGATTTTTTTTTGAGACAGGGTAATGCTGTGTTGCCCAGTTTTGTTATGTCTGATAATTTTAGGTTTAATTCATTAGGAAGCATTATCAAGTGTATAATAAAAGCCTAAAGTCATATAGTATTAGATGATAGTAGTTGACAACAGTTCTTTTTTTTTTTTTGAGATGGAATCTTGCTCTGTCACCAGGCTGGAGTGCAGTGGCACAATCTTGGCTCACTGCAACCTCCACCTCCCGGATTCAAGGAATTCTCTGTCTCAGGCTCCCTAGTAGCTGGGATTACAGGCATGCACCATCACTTCCAGCTGATTTTTGTATTTTTAGTAGAGATGGGGTTTCACCATCTTGGCCAGGCTGGTCTTAAATTCCTGACCTCGTGATCCACCTGCCTCCACCTCCCAAAGCGCTGGGATTACAGGTGTGAGCCACACACCCAGCATAGGGTATTTCTTGTTTAAGGAAATTTTCACTATGTTAGGCACCTAGAATAGAACAAAATGTAAAAGGTAGATTCTGTTTTCAAGGAGATTACCATCTAGCTGAAGGGTAGGGGTATAGGTAGGGGGCAGTGGAACTAATGTACCTGTAATTATTAGATTAGACCAGTTAATTGCTAATGCTGGCCTTAAGCTCAAACAGTTGTAAAACTTCACTATTGGTAAACTCTGAACTGCTATGTGGTAGAGAAAATCAGGATCCTCTGCTTCAGTTTCTGATCGAAATTCATGGAACTAACTATGAGTCATTCTGTAAGAGCTAATGAAGTTTGCCACTAACATTATTGCTTCAGTAACACATGATTCAATAAATAGAGTTGAGAATATTGGGAACAACACCTGTAATTAACTGAAAAAACAAGTCAAATGATTTTGAGTGATTTTCTGTGGCTCTAGGTGATTATTACCAATACTGTCCAAGTGTGGTTTATTCATGGATGAATTTGCCCCCATGGTTATATTTCCATTGTATAGTAAATAATTTTTATCTAATAATTTGCTTGTTGAAAATTCAGGTTTTGAACGATAATTTTTTGCTTATCCTGTTTTACCCAGGTGACTTGGCATGAAATTGCAAGACCTCAGATACATGGGTATGAGCTAAAATGTTTGACAATGATTAATCGGTTTCAGTTTGTATCTGGAGCAGACGAAAAAGTTCTTCGGGTTTTTTCTGCACCTCGGAATTTCGTGGAAAATTTTTGTGCCATTACAGGACAATCACTGAATCATGTGCTTTGTAATGTGAGTATTTCTCTAAATATTTTACCTAAATCTAGTCACTTCATTTTAAATTTAAGAAATTTTTGCCTCAGGCTTTAAATGGAACATATGGGTAGAAAGAAAGTCATATTGTTTCTTTTTTTGAGATGGAGTTTTGCTCTTGTTGTCCAGGCTGGAGTGCAATGGCACGATCTCGGCTCACTGCAACCTCCGCCTCCTGGGTTCAAGTGATTCCCCTGCCTTAGCCTCCTGAGTAACTGGGATTACAGGCATGCACCACCATGCCCAGCTAATTTTTGTATTTTTTAGTAGAGACGGGGTTTCTCCATGTTGGGCAGGTTGGTCTCAAACTCCGGACCTCAGGTGATCCACCCACCTCAGCCTCCCAAAGTGCTGGTATTACAGGCATGAGCCACCATGCCTGTCCAAAAGTCTTATTGTTTCTTAATGGTTTGACAGGCTTTTTTGTGCACTGTGAGGTGTAATGATTTAAATACTAAAACCAGAAATTTTGTATAGCAAATGAGCTAAAAATACTGTAAAGCTGCATTAGTGTTCAATTGAGACATGAATACTATGTTTTGTCACTGCATTAGGTACCTAGAATAAAGCAAAATAAAAGATGGATGCTGTTTTCAAGGGGATTAACATCTAGCTGTAGGGTAAGGGTAGAGGTAGTGGGCAGTGGAACTAATGTACCTGCACTTATTAAATGAGACCAGTTAATTGCTTAATCTTGTACTAAAGTAAATTTCATAGAAGGAAAAGATCATTGTATTGGAATAACGAGAACATGTTTAATGGGACTTCATTTGGGTTTTGTAAGAGTAACTTTTTTTATGTTTATACTCGTTTCTAAAAAAGATTTGAGCTACTTTTAAAAATACATGGATTATAAAAATATGAAGTAATTTTGAAAGGAAAATTAAGAAGATAGTTATGTTATGCAGAAGTCCATATCATACAGTCCTTCACATAGAGTTGAGTCACAAATCTGGTTCTGAGTTCTAAAAGGGTAGGTACCCTTTTGATAGGCAAAAAGAAGGAGAGAGAGAACAAAGGGGAGGCCAGAGCTGTTGTGGTACCTGTTGAAATGAAGACTGGATGGAAGTGGAGAGAATGGGGAAAGTCCATGGTGAAGGATCTTGGGAGGCAGGCACAGTCCAACTGTGGGGTGCTATTGGAGGCTTCTACACAAAGAGTGATGAAAAGCATTTTGGAAGAGAGTTATCTGGAAGCCAAGAGACTCTGAAGGCAGTGAAACTAGCACCAGTCTGGTAAGACTGGAGAAGAAAGTGAAATTAATTGGAAATCAAGTGCCCAACTGAATTTCCTGGAATATATACTCAGCACCTCATTCTACAGGCTTGCTTGATTATGTGAAGAGGTTTTAAGATTCTGTTGTGCTTGTTTCTGATAATAATGGACAATAGGAACAAGATCAAAAGGGAAGTCTTGATTGTGGTTCTTATGTAGATCTAAGCATATGGAGTTGGAGGGGCAGTTAGTTTCAGGATCTCTTCAGTTCTAGGAATTGAAATGGAGTTTTAGGATTCCTTGAAAGGCTTAGTCCCAGTTATACACTTAGTTCTGTGTCCTAAGATACAGGGATCTTGTAGAGTGGCGAGCTGCTTGCTCCCATTTGGGTTTTGCTCCCATACCAAGTTTTGGGATTGGTGTGTAGGAATGCCTCTTATTGTTCCTTTCTATGTTAGTTTTTCTTGGTTTCTGAGATAAAGCATACTTGTGTTCCTGGTAGCCATTTTTGTTGGTTTTAAATTCTTACTATTCATGTTCGTGTCTAGTTTCAGCTTCTGTATTAAAGTCTCAATTGTACAGAACACTCTTAGCTTCTGAGCATGTGCCAGTTTTGATGATTTGGTTATATATAGTTTCACATGTAATAGTTTGATTGATTAAATTGCAAAATATAAGCAGATACTGCCTTTTCAAATGGCAGTCATACAAAGTTTTAAAATACTCAGTTATTTAGATATGTTTAATGAAAATACTATGACTAATACTGTAAACTGTTTCCTTCTGGGAAGCATCTGTGTTTATATGAGCATCATCAGGGGATGTGCCTGTGAGATTATCTTGGAAGTAGAGCTCTGGGCCTTCCATTTTCAGTCCACTGCATTTCCTGTCAGACTCAGAAACCCATTGAAATGTTATGGTTCGATGAGATCCCTTTATGAATGAGAGGATGCCCGACTTTATGGATTGGGTGAGAGTTGGAGGCCTGGTAGGGCCTCTCTGTTGGAGAGCAATTGCTTAGTGTTTCATTGTTGGTTCAGGAAGTGAAAGTACAGGTAGACATCCACACAAGATGGTCTTTAAACTGTTTCTCGGAATTTATGAGCATGACGTTTTTGTAGTGCCTGAAGTAACAGTAACTTTTAGTTTTAAAATTATTATGTAAAATTTTAGCATTTAAAACTTAGATATTATATTTTCTATTCTAGCAAGATAGTGATCTTCCAGAGGGAGCTACTGTTCCTGCTTTGGGATTATCAAATAAAGCTGTCTTTCAGGGTAAGGCTTTTGTCTTCCAAATTATTAAACCCGTAGTGGTACTTAAATCCTAGTCAACACTTGTATAATGTCTACCTAATGTTTGTTAAAGCTGATTTTTTTTTAATCACAATACATGTATCTATCTTTGCCATCACCAATTTTGTGATAAGTACTCTTTGTATACACTCAGACCACTGAAGTAGGTGCAGTTTTCACAAAGCATGTTTTTTTTTTTTTTTTTTTGAGAGAGTTTTGCTGTGTTGCACAGGCTGGAGTGCAGTGGGTATGATCTTGGCTCACTGCAACCTCCGCCTGCTGGGTTCAAGCAATTCTCCTGCCTCAGCCTCCCAAGTAGCTGGGACTACAGGCCTGTACCATCATGTCTGGCTAATTTTTGTGTTTTCAGTAGAGATGGGATTTTACCATATTGGCCAGACTGGTCTAGAACTCCTGACCTCAGATGATCCACCTGTCTTGGCCTCCCAAAGTGCTGAGATTACAGTCATGAGCCACCACATCCTGCCACAAAGCATGTTTTCTGGAGTGTTAGAACTACAGATAAGAATGTAGGTAACCTGAAGAATTGGTTGTGTAGTTTTAAAAGTTTGGAAACTGGTAGATCAAGGAAAATGGAAGGAACCTTTATGGAGTTGATTAATGCTGCCAGGAGCATGTTTGGAGAATACTGGAGTAATGGAAGTACTCTTGCCTTTGGAATCACATGGACACAGCTGTGAATCACACCACTTTGAAGTACCACTGCTTTCTATCTGGTGGCCTTAATATTGAGACAAGTGGAGACCTAAAAATAGTGACTATATTCATGATGTATTTCTTTAAACTAGGAGATATAGCTTCTCAGCCTTCTGATGAAGAGGAGCTGTTAACTAGTACTGGTTTTGAGTATCAGCAGGTGGCCTTTCAACCTTCCATACTTACTGGTAAGAAGTGACAAAGAGAATTTAATAAATCACTAGAACACACAGTATGTTATCTATTGCTGCTGACCTAAATAAGTACTATAGAATTCACTTTTGTATTTGAATGGACATAGTAAAAAATAGCTTCAATTTATTCTAGCGCCTCCCACTGAGGATCATCTTCTGCAGAATACTTTGTGGCCTGAAGTTCAAAAACTGTAAGTTAAACTGTATTTAGCTCTTTGGTCTGATTCTGTCATAACTTGTGAATTTTCCTCCCCACCCCAGCATTTGATTTCTCCTTTGTCTTCCTTCTACCTACCTTTTTCCTCTTTTGCTATACATCTCTTAGTGGCACTTCATAAAGAATGAGAATTAAGCCTCAGGTTTGTTTTTATATTACTATTTATTATGTTCATTAGTTCTTTTTATTCATCTTATTTTTAAAGTAGAGAAGAACAACAATATGTATTTTTCCTTTATTAAAAAGACTTGGCTGGGTACAGTGACTCACACCTGTAATCCCAGCACTTTGGGAGGCCATGGCAGGAGGATCATTTGAGGCCAGGAGTTTGAGACTAGTCTAGACAACATAGCGAGACCCCATCTCTGCAAAATATTTTTAAAAATTAGCCAGGCCTGATGTGCCTGCTCGTAGTCCCAGCTACTTGGGAGGCTGAGGCTGAAGGATTACCTTTGCCCAGGAATTTGAGGCTGCATTGAGCCATGATTGCACCACTTCACCCCAGCCTGGGTGACAGAGTGAGACCTTGCCTCGAAAAAAAGACTTAAAATCTGTGGTTATGACTGGTCTTTTTTGTCTTTGATGGTTCCCGATGAAAACATTTCCATGGTTTATTGTTCAGATACTGGCTAGTTGGGGGTAGGAGGTGAAAATTATATGTTAATTATTTAAATGAGTTATAGTACTTATAGGAAGTTGGCATTTTTCTCCTGTCTCCCTGTCTTTCTCTCAAATGTTTGCCTAGACAAACATATAATGTTCCTTAAAAGAATTGTATGTTAGCTAGAGAGATTGATGTCATTCTTTTCACTTTTAAAAATTGTGCGGCATGAGAATAGGTTCATTTACTAATACAGAATACATTTTTTTCTTTTTAAATTTTAGATATGGGCATGGTTATGAAATATTTTGTGTTACTTGTAACAATTCAAAGACTCTGCTTGCCTCGGCTTGTAAGGTAGGGAATTTTACTTTTGACTCTGCTTGGTCACAGGTTATTTGGGTCATCAGGTTCCTGCAAGTTTGGTAATGATTTAGGCAGAACTCTACGTGAAAGGCCATTAGTGCTTGCTTTTTTGAATCTTTCTCAATGTCTCTTTCCCTTCTGTCTGTTTGAAAGCTTATGGTTGTTTGTTTTTGTTTTGAGACGGAGTCTCACTCTACTGCCAGGCTGGAGTACAGTGGCACGATCTCAGCTCACTGCAATCCCTGCTTCTCGGGTTCAAGTGATTCCCTACCTCAGCCTCCTGAGTAGCTGGGACTACAGGTGCATACCACCACGCCTGGCTACTATTTTTTGTATTTTAGTGGAGTCAAGGTTCCACCATTTTGGCCAGGCTGGTCTTGAACTCCTGACCTCATGATCCACCCGCCTCAGCCTCCCAAAGTACTGGGATTATAGGCGTGAGCCACTGCACCCAGCCATGGTTGCATTTTAAGTCTGTTTCAACTGCACATTTTGAGCTTATCTGTGTCCCACTGCTAAAAGTGATTTAATCAGATGTCTCAGAGTGACACCTGCAATACCATCTACTCAGGAGGCTGAGACATGAGAATCACAGAGTGAGACTCTGTATTAAAAAAAAAGGATATCTCAAAATGATGCCCAAAAATGTGAAAAATTTTGAATAATCAGAATCCTAGAGACACAGGGAAGAAGTACACAGGGAAATGAGAAGAGGAAACCTGGAGTGTCCATCAGACTTTTTTTTTGAGGACACTCTTGGCACTGACCTAAGGCAGATGACTTTTGCATTTACCTAGAAGGATGATCTTGAATTCATCATTCAGTATTTGTCCATATCCTATGGAATGATATAGTAATTATGGAAGATTGTCTGAAGGGTCTGAAACCCATACATTCCTCTTAGATTTTCTGAAATTTATTTACTTGTTTTAAATATGATGTTAAGAGCTGCCCACCTGCATTGGCTTGTGTCCTTGCTTTTACTGTGGATTTATGCCACTGATCTGCACTAAGAGGCATCATCAGAAATACTGCTGTGCTTCCTCTACATCCACCCCCACCCCACTTGTTTATTCTTTGAATTGGTACTGAGAAGACTTCCTTCTCTTATAGGAAATAAGAACCTTTCGGAAAAATGGAATTTAGTAGTTCAAATGCCTGGGCTTCTACTGAGCAGATAATTTGTTTCTAGTTTAGGGTACTGTCAATCCTGTAATTATTTTTTTTTTCCCTTTTCAAGTTGACTCACAGCAAGATGTGCATCCTCAAACATTTTTTAACAGCTTTATTTAGGGTCATTAGCATACTATAAATTGTATGCTTAATGTGAACAATTTGATAAGTTTTGACATGTTTATGCCTATAAAATCATCATTACAATCAAGATACTGAATATATCATCAACCCCCAAACTTTTCTATGCTCTTTGGCAATTCCTCTTTTCTACCTCTCTCTTCCCCCTCTTGCCTCCATCCCTAGGAAACCACTAGTCTGCTTTTTGTCATGATAGAGTAGTTACTATTATTCCATGTTTTTATGTCCATGTATACCCATTGTTTAGTCCTGCTTTTAAGCAAGGATGACTGGTTTTTGGCTTTCTGCTTCTGAATCATTTTGCTTAAGAGAATGGCTTCTAGTTTCATCCATTTTGCTGCAGAAGACATGATTTCATTATTTTTTATGGCTGAGTAATTCATGGAGGAGGGGGTGTATGTGTATACACACCACATTTTAAAAATCTAGTTATCCATTGATGGACACTGAAAAGATCTTTATATACCCTGGATACAACTTTATCAGATGTGCTTGTGTAAATATTTTTTTCTCAGTGGCTTTTCATTCTCCTAACAGTGACTTCAAATAACAGAAGTTTTATGTTTTGGTGATGTTCAGATTGTTAGTTTTTTTTTTAATTAGGCTGTGTCTTTCTTGTATCTAATCTTAGTCTAACTCAAGGTCACAAGGATTTTTCTGCTGTATTTTGTTCTAGGAGTTTTATGGATTTTTAACTTTTGCCTTTAGACCTATGATATTTTCAAATTAATTTTTGTATTTGTCATGCATATAGATGAACACTGATTTTCTTTTATTGTGGATACCAGTTTCAGCATCATTTTTTGAAAAGACTATCCCCTTCATCACTGTTTAGTCCTTTTGTCAAAAGTCAGTTGTTCATATGTGTGGGTCTGTTCCCTAGACTTTATTCTGTTCTATTGAACTTTTTTAATATGATGCCAGTACCATACTTTCTTAGTAACCGTAGTGTTTTAATAATACATCTTGAAATTAGGGAGTATAGCGTTATTTTGGCTGTAGTAGATTGTCCTTTACTTTGCACTTTAGATTCAGCTTGACAGTTTCTACAGAAATACTGCAGGAATTTTAATGGAGATTGCATTGATTCTGTAGATCAATTTGGGGACAATTTTTACAGTACTGAGTATTTTGATATATGAAGGCAATATACCTATCATTCATTTGGATCCCTCATTTCTTTCAGGAATGATCTTTTTTAAAGTGAACGCTTTATTTTGGAATACTGTTTTTTTCCCCTCCATGTCACAGTTTTTCATTTCATTTTTTCCCCTTCCATGTCACAGTTTTGGTCTTGCAAGAAGTTTTTAAGATCTGAGAGCTACAGTGAAAAGAAGAAAAAAAAAAAAGGAAACATGATTATATTAGTTTCTGATGATTTATTTTTTCTAATTTATTTCTAATTTATTTTTTCTAATTTTAGTCTTCCCTGATTTTTGCCAGACATTAGAAATGGTTGTAGTATGTTGTCTCCTAGGGATTTTTAAAAAAATTCAAACAGATAAATACAATATACTGATAGAAGCAATATTGTCTTTAAAATGTTTTCTCTTCAGTTTATTTTTACTTATTAGCTTCATTGTTTTATCTCTGTTCCATAGGCAGCTAAGAAAGAGCATGCAGCTATCATTCTTTGGAACACTACATCTTGGAAACAGGTGCAGAATTTAGTTTTCCACAGTTTGACAGTCACGCAGATGGCCTTCTCACCTAATGACAAGTTCTTACTAGCTGTTTCCAGAGATCGAACCTGGTCATTGTGGAAAAAGCAGGATACAATCTCACCTGAGTTCGGTAAAACAGTTTCTGATTGGGAAAGTTATTAGTGAAACAGTTATGTCCATTTTATGTACATTAAGCAGCTGTTGGTTAAGCGAAAGTTAACAGGGTGAAGGGTAGAGTCTCATGTCTTTGAAGCTTTCCAAAGTTCTTGGATAACTGATGAAAACTTGACCTTCCCTGCAAGATTTAAATGGAGTTGATCTCTGTTTGGGTTGATCTACTTGTGATTATGTAGTCAAGATGGCATGTGTTCAGATATCTCAGTTTAAGAAACATAAACATCTGTATGTAGGAAGTTAAGTTTTGCAAATGGTGATGAATGCTACCACAAAACCTAATGGATGGTATATCCTGAGCTAGGATTTTATGGGACAGGAATAATGAAGATACAGCTAAGAAAACTCATGGTTGAGTGGTTTCTTTCTTCTCTCTGAACTATTTTATGAATATAGTAATATTTTAAATTATGAAATGTAAAGGAAAACATTATCCTTAGCTTCTTCCTACCCTCTTCTGTCACTTCCTTCATTGAGAAGGGCATATTGGGCATCCATCTAGACAACATGACTCCTGAGCAAGTTGTTAGCCCACCTACCCACATTCTACTCAACCTGGCATAAACCAAAAAAAAAAGACTAAAAACCTTTGTGTAGTTGGGGCAGTGGCCTATTTCTATTTCCCATTTCTTTTGGTGGATAAGTTCTAGAGAGTGTTTAAAGTATATTTGTGTTGTTTAATCCTGTTTTTAATTTTTCCATTGATAACACTTGTATACAACTTGATTTTGTGATATTTCTAGTCTTTGTTTCTCATTTTTTAGAGAACACCAGGGACTGTGAAGTATATACTCAGCAGTATGTTTTAGAACTGACTGTTTGCTTTTGCATCACTAATCTTTCCCTAACATGCAGCATTTACTGTTTAAAAAGCTAAAGTCAGCCAGGTGTGGTGGATCACCTGAGGTCAAGTGTTCAAGACCAGCCCAGCCAACATTGTGAAACCCCATCTCTACTAAAAATAAAAAAAACTAGCTGGGCATGGTGGCGTGCACATGTAATTCCTCCTACTCAGGAGGCTGAGGCAGGAGAATTGTTTTCAACCCTTGAGGCAGAGGTTTCAGTGAGCCAAGATGGTGCCATTGCACTCCAGCCTGGGTGACAGAGCAGGACTCCATCTCAAAAAAATAAAAAGTAAATTAAAGTTGGATAGGTGCAGTAGCTCACACCTGTAATCTAACCACTTTGGGAGGTGGAGGCAGGTGAATCTTTTGAAGGCAGGTTCGAGATCAACCTGGCCAATATGGTAAAACCCCATCTCTACTAAAATAATGCAAAAATTAGCCGGACCTGGTGGTGTATGCATGTAATCCCGGCTATGTGGGAGGCTGAGACAGGAGGATTGCATGAACCCGAAAGACAGTGGTTGCAGTGAGCCGAGAGCCCCCTACTGCACTCCAGCCTGGATGTTAGAGTGAGACTTTGTTCCCTCCCACAAAAAATTATATTGATAACATGTATTAATTTGTTATATCTTTATGGATTATGAAGTAATAGCTACATACTTATTCACTTCTCATAAACAGTTACTTGTTTTTTGTTGTTTTTCCTTTGAGACAGAATTTTGCTCTTGTTGCCAAGGCTGAAGAGCAGTGGCACAATCTCAGCTCACTGCAACACCCGCCTCCCAGGTTCAGTTGATTCTTCTGCCTCAGCCTCCTGAGTAGCTGAGATTACAGGCACCTGCTACCATGCCTGGCTAATTTTTTATATTTTTTGTAGAGACTGGGTTTCATCATGTTGGCCAGGCTGGTCTCAAACTCCTGACCTCAGGTGATCTACCATGTTTGCCTCCCAAAGAGCAGGGATTACAGGCGTGAACCACCATGCCTGGCCAACAGTTATGTGTTTGAGGTTTAGTCCATATAAGGGCTAGAAGTTGCCTTACACTTAAATCTTACAAGGAAAATATTTTCTTAAGATTTCTTTCTTTAAAACATTATTTAAGTGGTGCATTCTTCTTTTTTCTATAGCCTAATATGCAAATCTGCCTACTTTGAGCAAGGCTCAATAGCTTCAGGCTTCTTCTATAGGTGTAAGTTGAACTTCATTTGAGTGTTTGGAAGATGTTTGTCGTCAGTCACTAGAGAGTGACCAGAGAGTACAAAAGCATCCCCTACTAGAAAAATAACTGTATGTCCACAGCCTTCTGGTGAAGATTAGTTGAGGCTTCAGTCTACTGCAAAAGTCAGCGCATATAAGTTGACTATTAAGTCACATGGTGTATAGGGCATTTAAGCATCACTTCTAACAGATAAAAACCGAGCTCTCTCTGCTTTGTGAATAGTGTATACATATTTCTTTCAGAGCCAGTGTTTACTCTTTTTGCCTTCACCAACAAAGTTACTTCTGTGCATAGTAGAATTATTTGGTCTTGTGACTGGAGTCCTGATAGCAAGTATTTCTTCACTGGGAGTCGAGACAAAAAGGTAATTATTTTAAAACATTATTTTTTCAAATATAAAATAATATTTTTATAGGTATGTTTGAATAAAAAATGCATAATCTTGCCTTTCTGTTAATAGCTTTTAAAAATCAGCTTATGTATTCCTTTCAGTTTTTCATACGTGTACATATAAAAAAGGACTTTTCTTGTTAAATTCTATAAATAAATTTCTCTGAATTGTCAAAAATATGAAGAGAAGACCTTTCAGACATATGACCTTCCTCAAATGGTCTCAGTGGAAGAGCAGTAATAAATGAAATGATAATCAAGACCAAGAAACCGAGAGGGGAGCAAGGGAGATAGGGGAATAAGGGAAAAATTATTTCTAGTTTTCATACTTTTATGAATTTAACATTTGTCTATAATGAATGATTATTACCTTTTTATTTGGTTCCAGAAGTGGGTGGAGTATGACTGACCCAAGCTTTAAAAAAATCAGAACAAAGTAGCTAGAAATATGTTTGTTTGTTTATTTGTTTGTTTTTTGAGACAGGGTCTCAGGTGCAATGGTACAGTCATGGCTCACTGCAGCCTGGACCTCCTGGGCCCAAGCGATTCTCCCACCTCAGCCTCAGCCTCCCAAGTAGCTGGGACTACAGGTGCTCATCACCATACCCAGCTAATGTTTTAATTGTATAGAGATGGGTCTTGCCATGTTGCCCAGGCTGGTCCCCAACTCCTGGGCTCAAGCAGTCCTCCCACTTTGGCTTCCCAAAGTGTTGGAATTACAGGCATGAGTTTCTACACCCAGCCTTGGAATATGTTCTCCAACATGACCTTCACCCTTTTTCTCTGGGAAATGTCCACTTCCCTTCTGGTCTTTCCTTTGTTTTCATACTCTTTAAAGTATCCTTTTGTTCCTACAGACAGGAGATGGTGAGGCAGTTTAGTGGTGCCTTTCCTCTCCCTTCCCTCTCTAGTCACAGACATGGTACAGATCACTGCAGTGGAGGGCTAGCACAGGCAGGGTGTCACTCAGGCTTAACACCTACATGTCAGCCTCTATGGCAGACTGCGTCTCAGAACCTCCCTTCTGTTCCTTTACCTATTCTTTCTTTCTTGGCATTGGTATGCCTGTTCTGTGCTCAATGCTGAGGAAGCAGGACTGTTTCTGTCCTCCACAGTCATGCTATTATTAGTGTGTTTTCATGCTGCTATAAAGAACTGCCAGAGACTGGGTAATTGATAAAGGAAAGAGGTTTAATGGACTCACAGTTCCTTAGGGCTGGGGAGGCCTCAGGAAACTTTCAATCATGGCCGAAGGTAAAGCAGAACATCCTTCTTCATGTGGCAGCGGGAGAAAGAAGTGCTGAGCAAAAGGGGGAAAGTCTCTTATAAAATAATTAGATTTCCTGAGAACTCTCGCTTACTATCATGAGAACAGAATGGAGGTAACCACCCCCATGATTAGTTTATTTCCCACTGGGTTCCTCCCACAACACGTGGGGATTATGGAAACTACAATTCAAGATGAGATTTGGGTGGGGACACAACCAAACCATATCACATGCCTATAGAACGTGATGCAGCTGCTACTCTCAAGGATAGGTCAGGACTCCAACAGACAAAGCAGCGTTCACTGGACATTCTCTGAAATGTACTTCTGCGTGCTTAGACAAAGCCTTCTGTTCAGAATCTTGCTCTGGTTCTGTATTTTGCTACTGTTGTCCACGTCACTTCTCTCTCCATTTCTTTTCGTTTTTAAAACGGAGTTTTACTCTTGTTGCCCAGGCTGGAGTGCAGTGGTGTGATCTCGGCTCACTTTAACCCTCACCTCCTGGGTTCAAGTGATTCTTCTGCCTCAGCCTCCTGAATAGGCGGGATTACAGGCACCCACTACCACACCTGGCTAATTTTTTGTATTTTTAGTAGAGACAGGGTTTCATCATGTTGACCAGGCTGGTTTTGAACTCCTGGCCTCAAGCAATCCACCCGTCTCAGCCTCCTGGCGTGCTGGGATTATAGGAGTGAGCCACCATGCCTGGCCCACTCTCCATTTCTTTGTGACTATCTACACATCCTTGAGGCATGAGGTTCCAGGGAAGCCTCATTTCTTATGAGGGGTATCATCCAGGTCAGGTTTTCCTCATAGCTGAGTAGATTCTTTGAGCAATGGGCGGTGTAGAGGAAGAGCTAGAAAGCTGATTAGTTCTCAGATATTTTGTGGTAGCCTCTTGGGGAGGTGCGTGAACCTACTGATGGGACTCTACTGGATCAGAACCAATTTGTGAGTATAGAAGTCATGTTAGACACCCCGTCTGGTCTGTGGTCAGGGACACTTTGTCTTTGGACCAACACACTTACATAGGTGAGCTCTCAGAGATGCCTGCCTGCTGCACTGTGCCTTCTTTGTGATGCTTGAAATGTTCTGAAGTCCTGGCACATCACACAAAAATGTAAATGATGCATTTTTAAAAATACTAGAGCAAATACTTTGTTTTATCTTTGCTAATGAAACTGTAATACGTTGCTAGAAACCTCATAAAGGGAAGGTTTTACAGTGTGTGATCTGTCTGTATTAGGTGGTTGTCTGGGGTGAGTGCGACTCCACTGATGACTGTATTGAGCACAACATTGGCCCCTGCTCCTCAGTCCTGGACGTGGGTGGGGCTGTGACAGCTGTCAGCATCTGCCCGGAGCTCCATCCTTCTCAACGGTCTGTCTCTGTGTGGGGCTTAGTTTTAAGAGGACCACTTGGTGTCTTAATATGTAGCTCTCATGTCATTTCATTTGTGGATTCTCCTGGCTTCTGAGTTACTGGCTTTTTCTCCTGCCTCAGCCTCCCAAGTATGTGGGATTACAGGCATGCGCCACCACGCCTGGCTAATTTTTTTGTGTTTTTAGTAGAGATGAGGTTTCACCATGTTGGCCAGGCTGGTCTTGAACTCCTGATCCACCTGCCTTGGCCTCCCAAAGTGCTAGGATTACAGGCATGAGCCATTGTGCCTGGCCTGAGTTGCTGTCTTTTACAAAATGCTTATGTTTCTCATAATAATTTTTAAATTGATAGAACCTAATGATTCAGAATGTAAAATACAGGTTAGGAATGTGGCTCAAAGATTCTTACTTCACCAAATCCAGGACTGTAGTACTTTTTCTTTAACAAGCATCTTCAGTGGAACAAGGGTCCCTACAGCCAGCTGGGGAAACATTGGCTCGTGGGCTTTGCCAGCAGAGGACACAGATAAATCTGTGTGCAGTGTGTTCTGAGCTGATGCCTACAAACAGTTTTTTGTAAGGCAGAGACAGTTGAGACACTGTGAAGAACTACTTTAGAGCAATGATGGAGATACTAGAACTTCATGCTAAATTAATCACTGTTGTCCCCCTCCCTTAAAAACAGATATGTGGTTGCAGTAGGATTGGAGTGTGGAAAGATTTGCTTATACACCTGGAAAAAGACTAATCAAGTTCCAGAAATAAATGACTGGATCCGCTGTGTAGAAACAAGCCAAAGGTACTTCTTTCCTATTTTTGTTTCCATCAGATTAGCTAGAAATTTTGGGATCTTTTGTGGCAAATTTTATGCCACATTTTCGGGAGAGGGCCATATATCTTTATTTATGGTGTCTACCGCTTTGTTTTGTGGTAATCTGAAATTACCATATATTATTATATTGCACTTGATTTTTAAAAGTTTACTTGACTGGATTTCTTGCTTGTATAATACTGTTTTTATAAACAACCATTTGAAATGAAAGTGATTTTCATAATGGTGTGTTTTAGAATTTGACTGTAGTAGATTCTTAATTTGATTCAAAATGTTTGTGATTTTTAAAAATATTCTGGATTGCTCTTTGGTAGTCATATCCTTATAATTGAACCCTTTATCTCAGATCCTGTAGTGGAGCTTTCAGGCATAGCAAGACTCATGCCCTGGGCCTCATGCCTTTGCCACCTGCTATTTATAACCTCCTCCCATCCCACCCACCTAGACAGCAGGGATCACTTTTAATTTACCCTTTTACATGTTTTATTCTTTTTTGTATGTGTGAGAGACAGGATCTCACTATGTCACCTAGGCTGGAGTGCAGTGGCAAGATCTTAGCTCACTGCAACCTCTGTCTCCCGGGCTCAGTCTTCCCACCTCAGCCTCCCAAATAGCTGGGATTATAGACATGCACCACCATGCCTGGCTAATTTTTTTTGTATTTTTAGTAGAGATGAGGTTTCACTGTGTTGGGCAAGCTGGTCTCCATCTCCTGGGGTCAAGCAATCCTCCTCTCTTGGCCTCCCAAAATGCTAGAATTACAGGCATAGGCCACCATGCTTGTCACGTTTTATTCTTTAAAAATGTCTAAATCTGGCTGGGTGTGTTGGCTCATGCCTATAATCCTAGCACTTTGGGATGCCAAGATGGGAGGATTGCTTGAGCCCAAGAGTTTGAGACCAGCCTGGGCAACATGGTGAGACCCCCCAGTCTCTACAAGCAATAAAAGAAATTAGCCAGGTGTGATGGTACATGACTGTGGTCCCAGCTACTTGGGAGGCTAAAGTGGGAGGATCCCTTGAGCCCAGGGGGTGGAGACTATAGCAAGCCATGATCACATCATTGCACTTCAGCCTGGGTGAGTGAGACCCTGTCTCAAAAAAAAAAAGTCTAAACGTTCAGAAAGTTACTAATATCATTCTGTGTTATATTTTCTTAGACTTTTTCAACCTTCATGTATCTGTACTGTTGAAAATACAATTTCAAATGACAATATGATGGGGATGAGTGCTTATGGGGAAAGATTTGTAAGCATGTCTTTTGTAAGATATTTCATCCAGCAGATCTTGTCTCCATGTCAGCCAAGCATGTTAGTGCTTATTAAAATTGTATTTTATTAAAATGAGATTCTGCCATGCCCCCACCGCTTCTCTCCTGCCTCTCTGGTGCTGGGTTTAGCAGTTGAACTAGTTTGCGCTGTTGGCTTGCTGAAGAGGGAAGAAATCTGTTGAAATTCCATGCTTCAGGCATTTGAAATTTTCTCTCTTCCTAGGCAACCTTGCCTTCCACCTTGCCTGCCCACAGTGCTCACTTCGCCTCTAACCTGGTGTGAAGACCTCTTCAATGACCCCAGTGTGGGACACTGTCGAGAAGCCTTTTAGAAAGTGCAGGAAGGGAATATGTATAGAATTTGAGTTTTTTGTTTGAAAGGGTTGTGTTTTTCTTTGGTCATTTTGGTGACTTAGGATTTGCAAGATGGAACTAATAAGTGACTGTAACATATTATATTATTTGGATTGCTGATATTTCCGTTACCAAATTTCAGGTACCTTTCAAATGAAAGCTTTTGCTAGTAATAAGATTTACAAAGGTAATAGATGCAAAAACTACCCTTTAGGTTGCTTCGCAAAACTCTTTCTCCATAAATGTGACATGTTAACATGCTGGATTTAAAGGACATCACCAAAAAAAAAAAAAAGAAACTCACTATCTCAAAGGTTACATAGCCAAACAAGTACTGTTCCTCAAAGTAATTCCCTTAGAAAGAAATAACCATGTATGTTTATTTCAGTGATGTCACTACTTCAAATCATTCTTTTAATGAAATGAGAGCACTTTAATCCATAATAGCTGAGATTCCAGCGATGTTGCTGTCACTTAAAATATTCTTGGAACTTCTCTATAGTAATTGTGTTCAGAACTAGCTTACTAGTGACATAAGAAAACAAATGATAATGCCTTTCATGGTATTACTTATTTCAATCATTTCCTCTTTTTTAAAGCTTGCCATTTATATCTATTAAGCTTGCCATTTATATTTATTATAAAGCTTACATCCAGGTGCTTTCAACAATCAAATTCATCCTCAAAGGAAGATGAGCTATCATTGAGCATACTCAAGTCATAGTCTGCATAATATGGAAGCATTTTCTCTAGAAGAATTTCAGAAAACAGTTGAGGCACTGCAGCACTGTTGTAACCTCCCAGAATGACTACTTGTAAGGGCACACATGCAGTCATCTTGTTATATAGGTTCTGGAGGACTGATTCTTAAAATGTGTTTCATTATTTCATTTTCCCCTTTTTATCATGAGACTGCATCTGGTGACAGGGACTGTCAGTAAATGAAAGTGTAATTTCTGTGCTTTAATATTGTTTTCAGTGTTTACTGCCCTAAAACCTACTTAAGTTTTTCACTTTATTCCTTTTTGGTTTGGGAAGCTAATTTGCAGGTTAAATTTATAGATGATGTATTTTCATAGAGATTTGTTACTAACCTATTTTTGGTAATGTTCTGGGTCTGCCTTTTTAAAGGACTAGGGGGGTTGGGAGGCAGGGAGCGTTAATATGATGGTCTTTCCCAAGGTCATGCAGTTAGAGGTCACACTAGAGACCAAGACTTTTTCATTGGGCAGTACGTTAAATCTTTCATTGTCTTTCTTTACCCAGTAGTAAAAATGTAAGTCCATCTATCTCACAGGGATGTCAAAAGAATAAAATAATCTAGCTGGGCATGGTGGCTCACACCTGTAATCCCAGCACTGTGGGAGGCTGAGGCAGGTGGATCATGAGGTCAGGAGTTCAATACCAGACTGGCCAATATGGTGAAACCCTGTCTCTACTAAAAAATACAAAAATTAGCTGGGCATGATGGCTCGTGCCTGTAATCCCAGCTACTTGGGACGATGAGGTAGGAGAATTGCTTGGACCAGGACCTGGGAGGTGGAGGTTACAGTGAGCCGAGATCGCGCCACTGCCCTCCAGCCTGGGCTACAGAGCGAGACTCCATCTCAAAAAAAAAAAAAAAAGAATAAAATAATCTAGAATATGTTGTAAAGTTGAAATTTTTAGAAATACATCTAGTTATGTTATCTGAAAGACTAACCTGAATAGCTGTTTCGTGAAATTCCATTGATCATTAAAACATTCATTTAAAGATATATATATTTTTTTAATAAAATAAAAATATTTATTGGTGTTTTTGTATTTTTGGTATTTATTTTTAAATAAAAATATTTTTTATTTTTTTGAACAACATTTGACAGAAATTCATTGTCTTGCTCTTTTTGGTGATGTCATTGGCTAGTGAGTAGGATTAAAATTTAGTCTTGCAGTTTTAAGTAAATACAGTAGTAAAATTTTTTCCAGGTTAAAATAAAATGGCTAAAATGTTAATGATGGTATTTTAAAACCTGTACATTTTAATTTTCAGGTTTTAACTTCCAATTTTGTTTATACCATTAATTAGAAAAACACTTCATGATTTCTCTATCTTTGTTTTAGCGAAAGTCATACACTTGCTATCAGAAAATTATGCTGGAAGAATTGCAGTGGAAAAGCTGAACCGAAGGAAGCAGAAGGTGCCAAGTGGTTATACTTTGCAAGCTGTGGTGAAGATCACACTGTGAAGATATACAGAGTCAATAAATATGGACTGTAACTGACTTAATAACTATATGCTGTCAGTCACTTGTATCTTAAAATATTATTATGTAAATAGATCATCTTTATCTTCATGAGTTTCTTTTTGTTTTTTTTTTCTTGAGATGGAGTCTTGCTCTGTCACAACCTCCACCTCTCAGGTTCAAGCGATTCTCTAGCCTCAGCCTCCTGAGTAGGTGGGACTAGAGACACACACTACCATGCCTGGCTAATTTTGGTATTTTTGGTAGAGATGGGATTTTGCCACGTTGGCCAGGGTGGACTCAAACTCCTGATGTCAGGTGATCTGCTCACCTCGGCCTCCCAGAATGCTGGGATTACAATCGTGAGCCACTGTGTCTGGCCTGAGTTTCATTTTTTAAGTCACGTAGCAGTAGGCTTTATTTGAGTCCTACTTTGAAATGCGAGGAAAGCTATGGACCTTTTGCTTTGTTATATAACGTATGCATACACACCCAGAACTTTGTACAGACATTCAAAGACTCCTAGACCTATAGACTTGCGTCTGTGTGTCCCGATTTAAGAACCTCTGTTTTTTTCTTCATGACTGGGTTCGCCCAATTTTGTGTTATTTTGGGACTTCATTTGCCCCACTTTGGGCCTTTTCCTTATTTATTGCCCTATTCAGAGAGTAGATATAGAAAATCAAGAGAGGAAACCTAGATTACTTAATTTTTATTTTAACATTTTCTATAGATAAGCATACCACACCAAGTATGCTAACTCTGTCTTGACCCCCCTTTCTAGTATATGCCAGTCATTGTAGAGTTTGGCAGGCAGTTGTAGGTTTGAGCTGCAACCAATCATTTCTTTTATTCTTTAAAAGTACATAGATTCATCTTTTTAGGACTTTACTTAAAGTGTAATTTCCTGACATTTAAAATGATAGATGTAGAAGCTAAAAAATAGAGTTCTGAATCATCTGAATGTATGTGATAGCTGAAGTCATGAGATGGGGGATGTATGTCCCCCAGTGAGGACACAAAAAGAAGAGGAGTGTGCTGGAAACAGCATGTCAGTTGTGCCAGCTGAGGGCTGGAGGCAGCCAAGAGAGTTGGGAGCCTGGGTGTTGGGTGGGGAGAGGTTAACAGGGATGACACAGGAAGTAGTGTGAAGACTAGTGTGAGCAGAGGTCTACTCTGACCATGTCGGAACATAGAGCCATCTGACAGATTGACAATACAGTGAAGGCTGTACAGAGTAAATGTGTTGAAAAGAGGAAGGTGAGGATTTTCTTGGTGGAAGTTTATGCTATTTAACATATTTTGCTTCCAAAGGGGAAGTCCCATACCATTTTGCTTAATCTCCTTAGCCAGAATTTAATGTAGTGGCCATAGTTAGCATTGGGAGAAGCTGGGAAATTAAGTATTTATTGCAGATGGCCATGTGCTCAGCAGAGAAGTGGGGCGCTTCATTTGGGAAGAAAAGGAGAACAATGGTAACCAGTTTGCAGGATTATCATGAGAATTAAATGAGCCAATGTATGGGAAACACTAATTTGGTGCCTGAGATATAATAAGACAGCAGTAATTTGCATCTGGTACTATTATGATTAAATAAAGCTTAGCTCATGTCACCTCCATAGACCGTTTTGTAAAACCCTCATTTCAAATATTCTTTTTTTCACCGAATTCCATAGTACAATTTTCTTTCATGGCATTTGTCACTTTCTTTTATTCATGTGTATTTTTTTTTTTTTTTGAGACGGAGTTTCAGTCTTGTTACCCAGACTGGAGTGCAATGGCGCGACCTCGGCTCACCACAACCTCCGCCTCCTGGGTTCAGTCAATTCTCCTGCCTCAGCATCCTGAGTAGCTGGGATTACAGGCACACGCCACCGTGCCCAGCTATATTTTTTTGCATTTTTAGTAGAGACGGGGTTTTACCATGTTGACCAGGATGGTCTCGATCTCTTGACCTCGTGATCCACCCGCCTTGGCCTCCCAAAGTGCTGGGATTACAGGCTTGAGCCACCGCGCCGGCCTCATGTGTATGTTTTATGCTGTGTCAGGTAGATGCCTTCTATTGTAAGGAAGTTCATCTCAAACAAAAAGAATTATTGGTTCATATGACTGAAAAAAGTTCAGTGGTGGGATATGCTTCAGGTGCAGTTTGATCTGGGCTCTGTTTCCTCTAGTTTGCTCAGCTCTGCCCTTTCCATGGCAACTTTCTTCTTTTGTTATTTTTTCACACTGAGTTTCGCTCTTGTTGCCCAGGCTGGAGTGCAGTGGCGAGGTCTTGGCTCACTGCAACCTCTGCCTCCAGGGTTCAAGCGATTCTCCTGCCTCAGCCTCCTGAGTACCTGAGATTATAGGCACACATCATCACACCCGGCTAATTTTTGTATTTTTAGTAGAGATAGGGTTTCTTTTTTTTTTTTTCAGTCTCAGTAGAGACTGTTAAAAATTGCCAATGCCTACTATATTGCAAGTTGTCATGGTGGGGTATTGAGAAAAGTTTTCAATTAGCAGTAATTGTGCCTCGGATAAACCTCATTGGCTATGATACTGCCACTGTGCAAACTTTAGAGATGGGGTTTCACCATGTTGGCCAGATTGGTCTCAAACTCCTGACATCAGGTGATCCACGTGCCTCGGCAGTGCTGGGATTACAGGCATGAGCCACTGTGCCCTGCCGTTACTATTTTAAATAGAGATAGGGTCTCACTATGCTGCCCAGGTTGGTCTCGAACTCCTGGGCTCAAGCCATCCTTCTGTCTTGGCCTCCAAAAAGTGCTGGGATTATAGGGGCAAGCCACAATGCCTGGCCACATGGCAGCTTTCTCCTGAGGCTGTCCTCCCTCATTGCTGTAAGAGGAATGCAAACAGCCCCTACATTAATTTTTTCCTTGTTAATATCAAAGGAAATAACCCTTAGCATTAGATCTCTAACTTTACTCTGACTCAATCATTCCTCAACTAATTACAGTGGTCAGGGGAAAGTCAGATGTTGAGTAGCTTGGGCCTGCCCATCTGATGTAATGAGCTGTGAGATCACCTATTCTGGATAAGGGGCAGAAGCAGAGGCAGAGTAGGTCCCAACAGGACCACATAGCTGCTCTAATGTGGTGTGGTTTTCCAAAGCAAAATCAGAGGGGCCAATGGATACAGGATGGGCAACCAATGCAAGCTCTCTATACAAGCCTGCTAAAGACTAAACACCTGGGAATCAGATGGTTCCCAGTGTATTGTCACAGCATCTGGCAGTGTATTGTCACATATTTGCTGAATTCAGGAATGAATGAGTTTGGCAACACTGATGGCTGGTGGAGGAAGCATTCTCAAATGTAATCTGCCAGTCAGTAAATAGAATATCTGGGATTCCTGTCTTGGTGGCATAAAGGGGTAAGGGGCAAAGAGTAGGAGGGAGGTGCTAGCAGAGAAGGGACCAAGAAGGGGCTCGCCTAGCCCAGTGGACCTGCTCATGAATGAACACAGGAGAAGTGAGCCCCCAGAAATACTGCACCAGGAAGATTGCTGCTCTGGGCCCTCCACCCGCTCAGTCCTGTGGTCTGCCTAGTACTGGTGGGTTTGGTTGTTTTGAACATTAGATATAATGGAGCCTTGTTCCCAGTCATGTCATGATGTTGAACTGCCCTTTTAGCTTCTATTCACAGGAAAGTTCTTGTGTCACTCTAGGGCAGGGAGCTTCCTGGGGTTTCTGATCTTTCTTTCCACTGCTCTGCCAGTCTTTGAAGAGAAACTTGCTCCCGTGCTGTGTCTGTCTCACTACTTCCTGTGCCAGCCCTCTTTTGACTTCCTAGGTACCAGCATATCTAGGTCTGTGCGTTCTCATTTTTGGAAAAGTGTGCATTTCACTATAGTAGGAAACACTTGAGTTAATTTTATTATCCAAACCAAATTCAGCCTTCTTGGAAATTCCTACCTTCTATCCTGATAATTTGGTGGGAAGTTTGGTCCCTCATAATTGCAGCCCCAACTATAGGTGGGTGTGAAAGTAATTGTGGTTTTTGCCATTTTGGTGCAAAAACCGCCATTACTTTTGCACCAATCTATTATCTTCCAGAGTGGGAGCACAAGGTTTTCAGGGGGTTCAGTAGTGAGAAAACCTCTACACTTCCTCACCATTTAGGACTTGACCATTAGAATGGAGCTGCCATCCCCACCTGGATAATGGAGCTGTTCCTGCTTAGGCTACTGCACACCGCCTACCCAGCACGTTTAACAATCTGTCCTAATGGTTTAAGTTTAACCCTTGTCTTAATTGGCCGTATGGCCTTAGATATTGCCAAAGTGATCTCTTCTGACTCTGTTCTTCGCTTCTTTAACTGAAACTTCCAACCTGTGGCATAAGACAGAGACCCTTTAAGTGCCACTGTCCCCAGGGCTCTGCCCTCTTTCCCTAAACACTTCATAGCTCCAGAGGTGACCTGTCCACAAGCCCCTCACACGACTTGAGTCTCCAACCCCAGACACTCTGTCCCTCTTGAGCCTTGAATCTCCACTGAGATATCCTCAACCGAGTTCCATATTGTCTCCCTATGCCTGAGACTCCCTGTGTCCACACAGTCTCCCAATCTGACAGCACCAAGTCACCTTGGGCCAGTCCTCAGTCCCATTAGTCCCTGAATTTCATCACTTCTGCACGCTCTGGGCCTCAGACCAGGCCTTCACTGCTCTTTGCCAGGACTTTTGCCCAGCCTCTGACAGCAGTGCTGTCTGCAACCTCCCCACACCCACCTCCTCCACTGCCACCTGGGATCTAAGCACACCCCTGATCCAGCCACTCTCAGGAGGAGACTCTAGAGTGGTCCTGTCCCTTCTGGACCAAGGCCCGCTTTTTTCTCTGTACTGCAAAGTCTGACCCCTCTTATTTCTCTCACTCCCTGTCCCACTTATCCCTACAGAGCTTCAGTCTGTGCTCCAGCTTCATTAAAAATCCTGCCTCTGGAATCTTCTGAGCCTTTTTGCACCTCTAGGCCTTTGAATATGGAATGCTGCCCTCCCTCCACCACCAGGACCTTCAGGCAGGTCTCCCAGCAGCCCCAGGTAGCGAAGGCTCTTTACCCCCAGCCTGGACCTTTGTGGAAAAGACTCTTCTCTAGCACTTGGCA